TGTTGGTTAAATTGGGGAGGGGAGTCTCTGAGAATCTGAAGGGTAACAAAATGATAACAAATATACTTCATTTCTTTATTAACAAATTATATCACACAAATCAGGTTACTTTTTCTATCTGAATACAGAGTTAACAGAAATTACATCTGTATTTAAAGCAGCAACATAAAATTTTACCATGAAGAAATTCTGTGTCTGGACCAAAAGACTAGAACATGGACTGGAAATCTAGTGACAAGCTAGAACTGGCAACTGTGGCACAACTACTGCGGGTTTATCAGGTGAGGGGACGCTGGAGTCAAAGGGATGTTACAGGAAATCACACGGACGTCAGTCAGTACAAAAGGTACACACAGGCCGTGGCAACTCAAGGAGGGGTAACACCCGAGCACTCGACATGTCAGCTCCCTGGAGTTGCACCAACCCTGAAGTCAAGGGTCTCTGAGATTCCAACTGAAACTGATACTCTTCATCTGGGCACTTGAGCCTGAGAATCAGTTAGGTTAGTCGTTTTACAAAAAGGGCTTTATCTTTAAAATAGAGACAGATTGGGGAGAGAAAGCTAAGCACTGGGAAAGTATTAACACCTTGAGAACTCGAAAACTATTTAGGAAGCCAAACGAAGCAAAAGAAAATACGGAAGTTAAATGAAAATGTTTCTCTAAGGGTAGAATTCAGTTTCTTGAGGGATTTAAAATAAAATGCACACTATCAGACAGTGGTTTTCAAAGTGGGGTTCAGGCTCATCCTCCTACCCACACTTCTTTATTTAAATTCAGACTTTCCTAATTCTGTTTTGTCTTTAGTGATTTCAGGAAGGATTTCCCTTTAAAAAAGAAAAAGGAAATCTGATGCCATCCCTATCTCTTGCTATTTGCTTTTTCTTTCAATATAATCAGAGATCTAAAACATATATTTTGGTCAGTGTTATGAAAATGTGAAAAGTTTCAAAAAAACTTGAATATTATTCTATAAAGTACATGGGCAAAAGAAGTTCTTAGAAACAAGTTAAACTTTGTTATTTCCACTTCCCCCAAATCTGTTCTTCCACTGCCTCCAAGTTCTCAATACTTTTGGATGGTACGAACACAGTTCTAACACACACTCCAGCCACCTTACTCCAAAAACATTTCCTTCAATGGCCGCATAGAATTCTTTTTGAAAAGGCAAGCCCAAAATTTATAGAAATCCCTACAATGAAATGTTCAATTACCAAAAACCACACACACACGGTGTCAGGGCAGAATCTGTGTAGTGTTCTTCAACATACTCGCTAATACAGAGCAGCCGAATCCTAGAACTTCTCTCTGTATTCAGTAGCAAACAATATCAAAGTGTAAACGACAACCAGGGAAAAAAATGTGTTAACACAAAGGCCATTTTCTTTGATGGAATCAGGAAGAAAACTGGAACTGCAGAAGAAAAGTGGAACCCAAGCTTTGGCCACTTATCAAGACTTCATCAGTTCAACGGAAGAGACCAAATCTCCACGTTAGGGACTCATTTGGCAAGCTTAATTTCTTTCCATATATTTTTCCTTCACATCAGGTTAAACAAACTTTGCTGTCATTTCAGAATCATTGATTACATCTTTTTTTTTAATTAGAAAAAAGTTTACTTGAACATTTACATGATTTTATTGCTGTTTATTACAACCCAAAATATGTTTAACTGATTTGCAGAATCCATCCAGTAACATGAAACTGAAATCCATCTCCCAGGAAGGTACAGTTATGGCTGAACGCATCTGATGCTGAGAACACAGCATGAATAAGAAAGTCTTGTGTGTCATTTGGTTCTTGCTGCAGTCATCTGTGTTCATCTCTCAGAAAGCAAAAGAATCCATTTGACGTTTTAATAAATATCAAAGTAATTGTTATAAAAAAAATAGCTTCCATGGACCCGAGATCCAAGAAAGAGCAGTTTTGATGAATGATTCCTAGAACTGAGTGAGTCCTCCTTTAGTCCAATGAGATGATGTCAGGAATGTTACCTCCACTGCTGGTTATGACCCCTGTCTCACTCCTGTTGCTGGATGAACTAACATGAGCACTGCTCTCATGGGGGCTGGTGGTGGTGACAGACGTACTGCTTGCTGTTAAGGGTGAGGTGAGACTATCCAAAAACATAGGAGGACAGTACTGCTTGAAACAAACAATGATGCCGATGAGGAAGAGGCTACATTGATTTTAAATAAAGAAACTAGAAATTGTTAATATGCACAAGTGAGAGCCACATTATTTAAATCCCAATGGGATTTAAAATTTTCTCAAAACTTCCCATCTTTGGATGGAAGGTGGCATGAATTTAGCTATTTCACATTACTTAGTGAATGTAGCATATTCTTGACTCTCTCAGAATTTGTAGAATTTGTTGACCAAAAATATAGGAACAATTACAAAAATGTCAACAGCATTTAATAATAAATACAGGCTCTATAATCATGATTCGTAATTAATCTCAAAAAGATTTTGCTCACTGAATGTATTTACACCAGGTTTAAATCACACTGCACAAGGCTAGTAAATACTTAGTTTTAATGGTATTGAGCAAAAATGCCAATGCAAAATTCAAGAATTCTTTCAAAATTTAGTGTCAATCAGATCATTTAGGAATAATGTTCAGACTGATCAGCTAAATAGTGGCATTTGACTCCTTTGTACATACATGTAACAATACCTGTATAACTCCGAGGCATCATTCATCCTAAAGTAGACGCAGGGTAGCTAACTACCACGTGATGCTCAGAACAGAGCATTATCTCACGTAATCACAAAATTTCAGAATAAATCTTAAAGTAGATCTAATCTAATCTTGACACCACTCTGTAAGAGTTTGTATTTGTTTCCTTACCAGCTTGTTTGCCGATTCCTAAACAGATTCAAACCTCAGTTTAATACTCCAGTGCTGACCAAGAGGGAGAGAGACAGACGAGAGCTCAAAGCTTTATTTTATACAATCGCAGAATATTTTGTGGAAGAAATTGCACTGAGTTTAGTAAAATAAGTGAGGTCCAGTATATACAAGAGATATCCTAAGTTTATCTTCAGATAGTATGAGAGATCAGTAAGGAAATCTAATCAATGTTATCAATTCTATATTCAGCTGTAACTAGAGATACAAAGCTACAGAACAGGAATTTAAAACTGGGGCTGTTCAGATTACATGCTCTTCAAAAAAATATGGGAATGGCAGCCCCAGGTTTAAGCTGGTAGTCAGTGGAAGAAAAACTAAAATTCAGGCTGCCTTTCAAAAAAGTAATTTAATGTTTAAGATAAATAACAGTTTTGGTTCATCAATAAAATGAATGCCAAGGGGATATTGGTTAAGGGGAAAAATGAATAGTTCTTAAAGAGTTCTAAAAAAAAGCTTAACTCTTAGGTAGTAAACTGTTCTAAAAGCAAATTGATTTCCTACTTTCCACTATAATTGCAGAAAGCAGCTGGGAAAAAAGCCAAACACTTCCATTTTATTTCCTCTACTTCTCAGGCAAATATGACTGCCCCTTAGTAAAAAGGTCCTCTACTCCATCTATAAAAATGAGTGCTAGACACCATGGTACTGCCTTGCTGCTGCAGGCTCTGTGCCCTGCATTTCTGTGATCATCGGGTTGCAGCCCTTTTCCTCTAACTCCAAACCCTCGTGTGTGATCGACACAGCTGCGCAGGGGCAAAAGGGGGCAATATGGAGGTGAACTATAACAAATCTAAAGATTCTAAGAAAAACTAAAGGCACAACCTCACCCTTCTATTGGCTTACAATCAATTTAGCCTAACACTAAGCATGTCAAGTAACACTATGAATGAGCACCCTCTATGTTCCAAGATAATTTTTTAAGGGTGGTTCATATAAAAAAAAAAAGAAAACTCAGTAACATTTTAAGCCTGAAGAATTCTTTTCCTAGAATACAGAGGTACTTTTTGCCATAGATAGAATCTACTGATGTCACAAAGTCAACTCAGGGTGAAAAGAAATTCTTCATTCTACACACATTAACTGGGACCCAGATTTCCGGTTTTGGCCCTGGCTGGTGTGGCTCAGTGGACTGAGTGTCAGCCTGGGTACATGTACAGTCAGGGCACATGCCTGGGTTGCAGTCCAGGTCCCCAGTCAGGGGTGTGCAAGAGGCAGCCAATCTTTGTTTCTCTCACACATTGATGTTTCTCTCCCTCTCTCTCTCCCTCCTTTCCCCTTGCTCTAAAAATAAATAAATAAAAATCTTTTAAAAAATTCCGGTTTTGTGATCAGATACATAGCCGTCAAACAGGAGGTCATACAAGACCTGCAGTTAGTTGATTCTGAGCAGCCTAGGAAACAGTGCTCCGTGTCCTTCCTCTGTTCCTTTCCTACTTTCATCACATCTTTCAAAGCCCCGTCCTCTGTCTCACTTTCCCCTCTGGCTTCCCCAGGCCTCTGCCTCCTCTGTCCTGACCTGCTATAAGCCTGTCAGTGGAGGGTGTGCTCACTGCAGGTCTTTGAGTTGGGACTCAGGGACACCGGGATTCGTTATCTCTGACGGAGAAAGCAGGGATAATTGGTTTGCAGCAACTTTAGGTTGGGGCGTCCCCAAAGTCTGAATCTGATTGCCTTTATAGACAAGGAAGAATAAAGATAATGATTCAAGTCAGTTTAATCAGCTTTAGCTATTTTCTCTGTATAGAACAAGTGTTTAAATTTCTGTGAAGTTTTAGCTTCTTATCATCTGGCAGTGCTTTCCCTCATTTGAACCACTCAAATGCTTATAATTATTGCCAACTGGTTATTAAACAGAATAAAATATAATTAAAAATTCAGGTATTAAGGCCAAAACATCATAAATTGAAAAAAAGCAGTTTTATTTATCCAAATAAAACTCTGAAATATTTATATAGTACTTTCTTTCCATCAATGTAAATAACTGAAAGTTGACTGTCCTGATTTTATGCAACTGGTCATTTTTAGTTAGTATGATATAAGCAACAATCAAATACAAATTAGTTGCTTAAATTCAGGATACATACCTGGGGATCAACGGGAATAAGGGAAAGAAAATCCAAACCTAAAACAAAAATGCTTTGTTAATAGTTGTCTCATATTTTGGAGACAAGAATTATTTCCCAAAATCATTTTATATTTATCATAAATCATAAAACATTTGGGGCAAGTGCTTACCATTCTGCAATAAGAAGGTTCTATACCAGAAGGAGTGATATTCAATGTGTAAAAACCCCCAAAATGAACATACTGTATTATGCTGTGTATAATGCACCCTTTTGTGCCCAAATGTTTGAGGGAAAGTAAGGATGTGCATTTACATGGGTAGTACCTGAAATACCTTGTATCTGTTCTTGTGTTTTGTAGTTATCTGTTACATGAAATTTCTTGTACCATACTATGTTCAAAAATAAATGCTAAAATTCCTTTAAAACACAAAACACAAGTATCTAAATATATATGAATAAAATATTGAATTAAAAACTTAAAACAAAATTTTTCCTTAAAGTTTGGGCCAAAAATGTGGGTCTGCATTATACATGGCAAAATATGGTGTTTCCCGACAAAACATCCGGAAAAATCACCTTCCAGAGACTTAGAGGGAGGAGTCCAAAAATTTCCGGAGTAGGACTAGTTAAAACAAACATTTCTTTGCTTCATCACTTAACAGAATGAAAAGCAATAAAAACGAGGAGGTAGTAATGTGAACATGAACCATAAAAAATAAATAAATACTTAGGCTCTTGAGATACTTCACATTTATTTTTTTAGAAATATACCACAGTGCGCTTCACCTGAAACACTGCTCCTCACACAGAGGTCGGTTTCACGGAACCTCTCTGGTCCTCATCCCCACGGGAGCAGCACACAGCTCTGCGCGAAGCAAGCACCTGTTCGTTTCCGCTCACTAACAAGCTAATCTTATCCAGGCTTACTGGGTTAAAAGCCAATGCTATTTTCTAAACTAAAGATGGAAGAGTCTCCAATTAAGCTTTAGATACAGGAACGTGGAAAAGGCTGCCCAGTAAAATACCATTGTGAAGCATTATAGTTATAATAATAAATAATTAAAAAACTTCATGTCTGAAGAATAAACTTTCAAGAAAGTTCCCCTAGATGTCAGTTTGACTAAATTTCAAAATATAAAATAAAACAAAACAAATAAAAAACATACTAAGTATAAGTCACTAAGACAGGTCAGTTGTTATTCAATTCTATAAATTTTTATTTGTTGGCACTCAATGTCATCTTAAATAATCATACAGAGTACAAGTCTGATACTGGACTATTACTCAAAATAGGAAATATTAGTAGGAATGTTATTTAAAACACTGAATAACCAAAATGAATAATTTATAACTCAACATTTTAATTATAGGTAGCCCCTTATAAATCCCTAAGTAAGGTGTGATTAAAAATATCCAGTGATAGGAAACTGGATAGGTAGCACCAATCATTGAAGAAAAAAAATCATTCTGTTTCTAAAACATGTAAAATAAGGTTGATGTGATTTTTTATTTTGTGTGCCTGTCACTATATAGTACAGTAGGGTTTGTGCCAACAATGGACAAAAGGGACCACAACGGACTGTTCCAACCTCGTCCCCATTAAATTGGCCATTTGAGGTGGCATTACCTCCATGAGCAGGGTTTCTTCGCACATTAATGATCTTGTTCAGTAAATCCTTTCTCTGCTTCTGCTGAACACTAATTCAAAATCTGTCTAACACTTATAACTCCAAAAAGTTTTATGTATTCAACATCTCCATTATTGACTAAGTCACAAAGATACTTTACTGGCATGTCATTGAACTAATTGGCTCAATTTTATTACTTTTATTTTGCTTCTAATGGTGTAACATTTTTCTTTTTGTAATAACTTCTGCTTTTACAGTTTATTTAATTTTATACGTTCAATTACTTTGAATGTTTGTTGAATCACTCAGTTCACTTGAATAACAAACTTATTTTATAAAGCTAAAAGTACTGTTTTCTCTGTTGGAATATCTGTACTGAGGCCAAGTTCATTCAAAAATACTTATTTTCTAAATGTTTAACTATTCCCACTTCAAAACTTCAATTTATATCAAAACACAGGCTTGATGTAATTTTTCAAACTGTTTTTGCAGCTCTAGCACTGAAGGCCACCCATTGAGGTGCCAAGACTTATTTTCATTTTCTCAATTCCCAGCTCTTCAGACCTACTGTAATTCTTTATTTCATGTGTGCCTTTGTGTGTGTGTGTGTCAATACATATATAACATTTGGATTATATACATATATTACGTACACACACACACAGCCTATTGATTTAACAGGTTCACTTCATCTGTCTCCTTTGACACCTCATCCAGGGATCACTGAAAATGGTGACTCACATGATGCATAGTAAAACACCTAGACAGAGTTCTAAAATTCGGGTTGAAATTCTAGGTTATCTCCCCAGCATTACACAGATACTGGCTATACAAAATTAAAAAATGTTCTAATGTAAATATTTCTCACTAAAACTATTTTTTCCTCAAACACCATCACTAAAATTTGATATACTATGTCAGATGTTATTCCTTCTAATAAACTTTGTTATCAAAGTCCTGCATTTTACCTTTTAAGTAGACTATTAAAGCTCATATAGTTGAAGTTTCATGAATATTAATTACTGTTACTTCCTTGTCTTGTGAGTTTAGAAAAAATGTGTTTTTTTCTATTTCAACCTAAGTTTCAAATTCAACTAGTTTATACTGGTATCTATTTATGCCCTCCTAACTATTTCATGGTTGAAAATGCACTCAATTATCTTTAACTAAAAAGCAGGCCGTGTTAAAAATTCTGATGGTACATTCTAAACATCTGTTCTATTAACATTGATAAAACTGTAGCTTTTAGATTTTAAATGTCTTTAAGTGAAACTGACTCTACATGTCTTATTAATAACAACACATTTTCCTTACTTTAGCCGGGAACTTACAAAACATGATTGCTACATAATTAAATAGGTAAATGTTTAGCACTTTCAAGTTTTAATGACACAACTCTTGAGCACCATTCACCCCTGACAATATGTCACTAGTCATAAGGCAGTCATATTTTTTCTTGAAATAATCAAGCTGTTTTCCACTCCACAAATACAAATTATGTTTTATTTTGAATTCACTCTTGCACAGTATCAGAAGACGTTCCAAGCTGCGGTTCATTATTAATATCATTTCTTCTTTGTTCCCCTGCAGATTCAGAAGATTCATGTTTATGATGTTTAAAAGGAATGTTAAGAAATGTATTAAAACTCTGTCATCTCTCCATTCTTGGTGTTTTATTTAATATATTATTATAAATGATTAAATTTATAGTTATCAGCTCTGTACAGTATGACTAATTACATAAAATTATGCACAAAAATAAATTACTAATTACAAAAGAGCACATTAACAATAATACCAAAGGAAAAAAAACTAAGCTATTTAGATTTAGTAACTGCCACATGATTCACAGATGACAATAAACTGGTAATTCTTATAAAGTACAATAGATTCTATTCTATTCAGTTTATCAACTGGTAGAAAGCATTTCAACATTTTAATAACCAGTATCAATATATTGGTTTATATTGGCTAAACATCTACCCTGAATATTAGCCTCAGTTCCTTAATATCGGGCTTGAAATGAATACTACAAAAAATACAATTAACATATTTTACCATATCTTTCTCAAATATGCACATTTTATAGTCTCAATTTATGCCTGAATTTTGAAAAACTGTAAATTTTCTAAAGTTTTAACAATTCATCCAGAATCACATATTTGAAAACTAACAGAGCAGATGATTTGTAAATGGTGTCTGCTATACTGTTGGATGGTCAGGGTCACTTTAGTAAATGGAACATTTATCATCTTTTTTTCAGGATCAATTTTTAATTCAAAGTCTTTAGGAAACAAATCCTTCTGAAATGTTTGTTAATAACATATACTAAGATGATGTGTGGACACTCTTCAACTTCACTTAAAATCAACCAAGATTAAAGCAAAATATGGCAGTTAAGAATTAAGAATCTCCAAGTTTCTGTCTCTCATATCAACCATAAAACCTCAACTGTCTATTACTTTAGCATCAAGTTTTGTATACAACAAATACTTTTTAATTGGTGATAGGTGGGCTTACAATAAAGTTTTTAAAAATACCAATTCCGAAAGTACATATAGACTAAACATATGTCAGGCAAAACGCATTTAAAATTTTTTCACGGATACTATTTGTAGTCTATTCTTTTCCATTAAATTTTATCTGAATTGGGCCAGGTAACACAACTATCAACTATTTCAAACAACATGAATTTTGCCCAACAGAATATATATGGTTCTTAAAATAAAGATCTAAGAGGAATAAGAATAAATGATAGGTCAAAATTAACTTCAGAAATCTAGACAAGAGAATTAACCACCTAGGGAGGGCACTGCATCACACTAAAAGTGCCCTTCAGAGAGAAGCGAAGTCATGAGTATGAAGAGGCACCGGTTTTAACTTGCTCACATCTGACACACAAAAAGTGTCAGCAAAAACAACAACTATACAGAGAGGAAAGAAGAGTTTTGGTGGGGAGGGTTTAAATTTATAATGTGGCCTGGGTTGCACAAGTCATGGTATTAAGGTAGTCCAGGCAGCCTTGAATATTTTAAACGTTGAGTTACTATACATGTAAAAGACATCCCCAAATATTAAGCAGTGCTCTAGGGAAACAGCTGGTAGATACCATTTTCACAGGGGAAAAAATCCACAGGGGAAAGCCGTAGGCAATACTCACTCCACAAAAGTTGTGATGGGCTACTAAGAACAGTATGAAAAAATATTCTCTCCCTAATCTGTGAAGCTTGCATAATAAACCAAGGAAAAGTCTCTGAGTACCAATTCTCGATGAGCGGAAATAAATTTTATGTATTTCCTATTATCCTACTATATTTCTATCATCAGGAATCTACAGACTGCTCTTTAGTTAAAATGACCGGAACTGACTATGATATATTAAAACAGATACTACCTTTACATGAAGCTTTCAAACTTCCTTAGCATTTCTATCTAAAATTTTTAAACTATTTGCTCCAAAGATTAAGACTAAAAATGATGAAACTTGATAGAAAAAAAAAACGCTCTCCACATACCTGGCAAATCCGATGACATGCTCGATATCGGCGTGTGGTGGAACGGCACTGAGTAGTCTGTCAATGAGGGCGGCATAGCGGCGGGGTCGACCGAAGTCACACTGGGCACCCTTACCGAAGACGGCTGGTACATGAGCACCCTGTTCCAAACGGCACGGGGAGTTACAGACTATCCGGCTGTCAGTTCACGAGAGAGAAGGGCTGCACTACTGCGCCTTCTCGGGGGTACATCAGCACTAAGTTTCAGCACAACTATGTGGCAGCTACTCCTACACAGCACTTTTGTTAACGGGCTTCATTTTAAAATGAACTCACGTGGGCTCTCAGTAGCAGCTGTGAGGTAAGAGCGAGTCAGCAATAAAATACAATGTACAGTGCTGGAGTGACAGACAAAATGTTCATCCGCAAATAGAAATATTCTTTGAATATGTTCTTATTAATGTGTATAACATATGTGGATATTAGTTGTTTTATTTATAAAAACCTTTAGAAATAAAATAGAGGAATCCTAAGATTTGATTTAAATCAGGGCAATTTCATGAGTGAAGCTACATCCTCTAGTTCAACCAGAATTTCATCTATCTAACTTGAACTGTGTTAATTATTAGCACTCTTACCTAGAAATCACCTAAGCAAAGAAAGCCATTTGTAAAGCCTGCCAACTTGATGAAAATAAGCAGTAAATAGAAATTAAAATGACTACTCAGGATTTAAGATGTAATATCCAGAAAGAAAATGTTGGCTACCATAATACTACCTACTCTTCTAAGAGAGTTTATGACTTTAAAATTAAACGCATATTAAGAAACACTTTACAAATGACATTATATATAATACTTTAAATAATTATAACTTTATAATTTCAAGAAGCAGTATAATTAAGCATTTTTAAAGTTCAGAAATAAAAAGAGACAATTTTGCCTTCTTCCTATTTAACCTTCATTTTGTCTTTGCTCAGGGTAAACAATTAGCTGCTGAGTTTCATAACGCCACCCAAGGATGACAAGAAGAAAGGTGCCATTAGCCGAGAAAGACGAAGACCCCGTGAACAATCTGGGGGCAAGGCTAAAAGAACTGGTTCCAAAGGCAAAGTTTGGGGCAAGCACAATAACCTAGTCTTGTGTGATAAAGCCAAATACGACACACTCCATAAACTTAGCACTCCGGCTGTTATCTCTGAGACATGCAGGCCCAGTCCCTTGGCCAGGGCAGCCCTTCAGGAGCTCCTCAGTACAGGACCTAGTAAACCGGGTTCGAAGCACAAAGTTCAAGTGATTTACACCTGAAGTACCAAAGCTGGGGATGCCCCAGCTGCAGTAAAGATTCATAAACAGATCTCACCAACTATACATTTTGAAAAATAAAACTTTATTAAATAAGTGGGTGAGTCTGGGGACATGGGAACATTAGGCTGGCATCCCACAGTGCTGCCAGAAACTGCAAGCTTTGTGAGAGGCTTAGAATTCTGTAGCTGGGAGGGACCACAACAAAGGTGAAGAAAGTAAAACCAACAGAAACTTAAAGTAGGACCACAGTCACAAAGCTAGACTGAGACAACAACACGGACCTCCAGGTGTCCTTTCTCTTGGTCGAAACACTTCCTGTTATTGCTCAGATTATTAAATACTAAGTAACAATAAGCAATGACACAGCTGCATGGCACTCATCATACCCTACAAACAACTAACAACTTTTTCGTAAGTTCAATGTAAATCTCAAACCACTTAAATAATCACAATCTATTTAGACACTGGAATCGTTCTAAAACTAATTTGCATTCTGACAGGAGGATAATGTCTAGCTATTATTCTGCAGTATATAAAAAATATGGATGTCACCAGAAAAGGTGCAAAGTGAAACCTTCCTGAGAGTACATATACGATTGCGGTGGCAATTGAGTCAGTCTCAAAAAGTGAATAAACAGCATAGGTCAGAGTTCATAAATCTTAAAAACAGATCCATTTAGGAGACACAGGAAATATACTATGTTTGAGACAATAAGCTTGGCATTTCAAAAGCATTTTCCAGAGGGAGGTGAAGACAGAAGGAAGTGATCTTCCAAAGAGCATCTCCTTAAGCTTAGAATCAGAAGGTTTCTTGGCCTCCAATGGTATCTGCAGACCTAACATCACAAGCAGGAGGTAAAAATGTTGGAAAAGGCAGGCTATGGAGGGGGAAAGAGAGAACTTGGGATTAGACCAAATAAATTATATTGTATTAAAGTACATATTTTCTGGAGGTTTGAAAAAAAAAAGTCATCCTCTATAGGAATGAAAGTAAAAGAACAGGAAATTGCCAAAAGTCGTTTCAAATTACACATGATCCTATTTCCCACACAGGAGTGCCTATCAGAAATTGAGGGAGGGGGCATTAAGACCAGAAGAGAAATGGGTATGTTAGTGCTGAGAAGTTTAAAAAGTGGCTTTAACTATTCTGGCTGCCTCACAGTATTAATATTTTAATTGTATTTTTTAAATATTTAAGAGGCAAGTTTTTGAAGACATATAGATACAGGGGAGGGCAAAAGTAGGTTTACAGTTTGAATGGAAAATAATACAATAATTAATAAGTAATAATATAATAATAAACTGTTTCATGTATTCACAACTGTAAGCCTGCTTTTGATCCACCCTGTATATATACAAACACACAATACATACACACGTACAAGATTTCATTTATTTTAAAAAGTTCCTACTTGCCCTGGCTGGTGTGGCTCAGTGGACTGAGGGCCGCCCTGTGAACCAAAGGGTTCCTGGTTAGATTCCCAGTCAGGGCACATGCCTGGGTTGCAGGCCAGGTCCCCAGTAGGGGATGTGTGAGAGGCAACCACACACTGATGTTTCTCTCCTCTCTTTCTCCCTCCCTGCTCTCTAAAAATAAATAAATAAATTCTTTAAAAAAAAAGTTCCTACTTAAAAGTACATTTTAATCTATTACTTTAGTTCTGACACAAAAAGAAACTAATTAAGAAAATGCTCAGGTTTATAAGAAAAAAAATCCTGCCCGCCTTTCCTCCTGCTGCCCCTTTTCTTCTTTTCATAGATCACAGTGAAGACTTCCTTTTGTCTTGATCCTGAATTGACTGTTCAACTTGGATCACATTTACCGGAAACAACAACAAATTCACTTTCCTCCCCCAACCCTTCACTTGTATCAGAGGGGTCAGAGCAACACACTGTCACCACAGCCACATACAATTAGTGCATATGTTCTCGTAGCATGAAACTTTGCTCTGAATGACACTAACATCCCTTGTTTCTACAATACAAAATGTCAACTGTTAAAACCACGTGAAAATGTCAAAATCCAGCAAGGGTAGAAATTATTAAATCAACATCTAAAACATCAGCAAATCTCTGAAAAACTAAACTTCACTATAAATAATTCCAATTACCTGAACTGCGCAACCATTAACACAAATTCATCTTTGTATAGACTGGGTAAAACTGGTCATTTGTTAGTATTGTCAAATTGTGTACTAAACATTTTTGTTTTAGTCAAATTCTTGTAAGGACCACTTTCAGAAAGGTGAATGATTCTAATGTCAATGCAAACCCCCCCACCTCCCCCGGGGTTATAGATACGGAATAACAGAGAACCTGGAGAAGTGTCAACAGCTATGCCTTATGGAACTGGGAGTGCAGAAGTATGATGCAATAAAATAATGAAAAGTTGTAAAAAGCTTTTACCATTTGTTACTGCCTCCTCATAGAATTGGCAAATACACAGGCATATGTACATCTACATCATCAATGTGTACTTATGTATTTTATGGCTTTATGCACATATCACAGCACAAAGGTAAAACAGCTGGAATGCTGCCAGACAGCCAGTGTTAGTATTCAAGACTGTGTACTGGATCACCGAGTTAATCATATTTGGCCCAGGCTAAAACACCTAAAAATGGATTAACAATTCAAAAACTTGTGGAACTGTTATCCATAAGCCTGAAATTCACCATGTGCTCCCTCCCACTTTTATGACCATAACAAATTTAAAAAGAGCCCTGACCAGGTGGCTCAGTTGGTTGGAGCATCATCCTGTACCAAGGGTGTCCAACTGCACAGGTAGCATGTGGTCCAGGATGGCTATGAATGCAGCCCAACATAAAACTGTCAATTTACTTAAAATAGTTGTTTTGCTCCTCAGTTTTCTTTAGTGTTTGTGTATTTAATGTGTGGCCCAAGGCAACTGCTCTTCTTCCAGTGTGGCTTAGAAATGCTAAAAGTTTAGACACCTGTACCAAAAGGTTGTGGGTTCGTTTCCCAGTCAGGCACACACCAAGGTCGCAGGTTTGATCCTTGGTCAGGGCATGTAGGGGAGGCAATAGATTGATGTTTCTCTCTCTCAAATCAATAAACATATCCTCAGGTGAGGATTAAAAAATTATATATACATGTATGTTAAATTTTGCAACCAATTCCTAATGATCCTTAATCCAGACAAATACATATTTATCTCTATTCTTTGTTTCCTACCTTTAGAATAACTCCTTTTAATGACAAAGCAACATTCCATTTCCAGGAAATGAGGGAGGGGTATAATCCTTAAAATTATCTCTTGCTGTAGAAAAATATCAGAGGTTTTCTAAAATCTCTTAAATTAAGGTGCCAGTTTCTTCTGAGGTATTGCACAACTGCATTTAAGGACTATGGTAGGTATGCAAGGGAGAGGTTAGAAAGATTACCATCAAAATGTTAACAGTGGTTATCTCTAGGCAGAGTGTTTTTTTTTAATTTTTGGTGCTCTGTAAAATTGTAACTTTTATTAAAACAATACCTCTTAAAAATAACTGCTCACAAAATTTCTAGACTGTAACTTAAAATAAGTGTTCCTGGGTTTTCATCTCCTGTTCTTTCTGATTTGCTTGCTATCACTGACTAGGAAATTCAGCAAAGGAAAACCATAAAACTCCTAGGTGCTGAGCCAAAAGACAGGGAGTGACAAAATGATGTCAGTGACTTAGTGAATGCCTTTCCACCATCTGTTAAAGTGACTACGCAGTCACCAGAGGAAAAGGGGGGTGAGGTGAGGTAAAAGAGAGTACGGAGGGACAAATGATGATCAGGAACAAAAGCAGTAAGAGGTGAAAGGGATTCGAGGTGGTACAACCACAGCATGAGTCTCCCCTGAGACACCGGGGCAGCTGGCACCCACGCCAGCGTAACACGAAACAGTAATTTTAGCACAAAATGCCGACTATCTTAGCGTTCAGAAAACTCCAGCTTTCCCATGCCTCTTTCCTCCACTGGCCTTTGGTCAAATATTATGATAAAGAACAAAATTGGTCCAGTCAACGTCTCCCTTTTAACAACTATGTGATAGCTCTCACACAGTCTCTTCTCCTGGTTTGACCGGTTCAGTCCTTAGACCCGCCATCCGTCACGCTGCGGCCCCACTTTCACCACCCTGTTCCCCAACTCTGACCACTCGAATTTGTTAATACCCTCCCTGATGACTGGCACTGACCCAAATGGTCTAAATGAAAGTCACCTAACCCCAAATTCAACAAAACTGGCATGTATGTGTATCCTGGACACTATACTTCTTTTATTAATGCAGCCTAAGGACCAATCTGCTTGAGCGGTGAAGCCACTCAAACCATTAAGTGAATTCTGACATTTCAAAAAGTTTCTATGAAGAATGGCTGTAACGTACTGAACGCCCTTCTGCCATCTGTGAAAATGACTGTGCAGGCACCAGAGGAGAAGGGGTGAGGTGAGGTAAAAGCGTGCGGAGGGACAAATGGTGATCGAAGGAAACTCGACTTGGGGTGGTAAACAGACAACACAATATGGAGATGCTGTATTACAGAACCATGTCCCTGAAACCTGTATGACCTTATTAACCAATGTCATTTAAATAAACTCAATTTAAAAAAGTAAAAAATAAAAATATAAATATACTCATTCTTAAGACAAAATCCATTTTATCAATATACTTCCTAATAATAAGCATTCCTGGATAAACCTTACTTAGTGGTAATGGATGTCACTCATATATATAATTAAATGATTTCCAAAGATTGAGTTCAAAATTTCCACTGATCTCCCTAAATGTGAGCTGTCTCATAAGTTTTTCTGTATGGCTGTGAATGTGTGAATCTAGTTTGGCTACTATGAGTTATACTGACTTAATGGAATGAGACGGGCAGTTGCAATTTTTGTGTGTTGCTGGTTTAGTCACAAATTTCCACCTTATATTTACAAGGTTAGCTTTTGTTTCCTTTTAACCTACACGAGGAGTCTTACATCTACCTATTTCCACGGTAGCTAAGCATGGGAGTGAACCATCCTTATTCCTCTGAAGCCGTTTCAAATAGTCACCCAATGTGTATTCCATTCCTCCAGTTTCACGTCCTTACCAAACACTGGTAAAAATGTGCTAAAGGACCAACAAACAGAAGACCCTTATACGGCATGCCACCAGAGACAACCTCCAAAACCACATCAATTCACGAGTCGGCATCACTGGGTACAACACTTCCATCTGGTGTGAGCCCATCTCACATAGTACCGTGAAACCTGTGTTTGTTCAGCATATTCTAAAGGATATCACTGGAAAGTCAACTATGAAAATACTACATATAAGTATTCATATCCCTATGATTCTCTACTCGAATAAACTTCAGAATTTTATTTATTTTTTATTTAACATTTAAATTATGGAAGTGCCTGAAAAAGGAGAAATAAATGATCAGTATTCTAGAAAAACCTCACTTGAAATCTTCTTACTTTCTGTTCCACTAAAAGCAAACTAACAAACAAACAGCCTTCTGATTAAATGGGTAAAAAATATGCACCCTTACTGCAACGTGTAAATCATATCTATAAACAGAAGCCTTTTAATAGTGAAGGCAGCACAAAAGGCTTAACTCTCCTGGTTACAAAAGTAAATATAAGTCAAGAATGCTGCGAAAACACACTGAGAATACAATTCCAGCTCTATTAAAAAGTCAAGAACAGGCAAACTTACAAAGATGAAAAGAAGACAGTGGCTAGTCTAGATCTGGGGTGTAAATGGGGACTAACTGCAAATGCACGGGAGAGAAGTTGACTGGGTGTTGTGCACAGTCTGCAATTTAACCGTGGTGACGACAGCACAACTCTATGAAGTTACTAACTGTGCAACCGCACACTGAAGATGGAAGGATTTTGTTCCTTCGGGGTAAATAAAGTATACCCCGATAAAGCCATTAGGAAAAAATTCGTGCACTGGGAGGCCAAAAAGACCACACTGAAGAATGTGTCATGGGATGTCAAGAGAACTCTCTGCCACTTTCTTTCAGGTTTCAAAATCTTTAAGAAACACCTACTGCTAAATACTCAAACCTGTCACTTACAGGTCTGTAATGGCTCCTGCCAGATGAATCATAAAGAATACATACTAGAAGGCATTTAACTTGCCCCAATTTTGCCCTGGAGAGGGTAAGAAGGAAAGGCAACCTTTACTGAGAAACTGCCATGTGACTAACACTGGGGCTGAGCTCTTTCATTATGATATTGAAACCTGAAAATAATCTCATGAGGTAGGCATTTTTTAATCCCATTTCACAGAACAAAAAAAGGGAAGCTCAGGCAACTTGAGTATTTCATCTAACATCACAGGAAGATTAAGCAACAGTCTCAAAATTGGAAACCACATCTGTAGGATTCCTAATTCCACACTCCATTACACTAGATTTCTTCCTGCTGGTCTGTGATGCCAAATTTGCTACTTAAATGAAATACTTACACATGAGGAGATTTCAACTCCCACTTTCCAGAGATGGGAATATTTTCTTTATCAAAATATGGGAAATCTCTCAACTGAACTGAAGACAAATTAAAATAGCCTTCTATGATTATGCAACTCTCAAAGAGACATTTATAAATCTATCCCAATAACAGTTTTAAGTGTAATAAATAGTGAACTATAAATTAACAAACCCTTTGGTTGGGCTGCTTTGTGTTTCTGACATAAAGATGCACTTCCTTTTGGCAGGAGGGTCTTCCTCTTCATCGGAAGAGCTTTCTATTGTTAGGTCAATAACGTCCACTTTCTTCTTGCTTGCCTCATTGGCGACAGTCACTGAACAAGGCTTACTGAGGACACTTGGACCTGCGTGTATAGGGAACAGAGAAAAAAAAAAGGAAAAAACTCAAAGGTGTGACAGACTCTAGCCATAGGGGTGTTAACTGTGCAGCATGTCTGGGAGAACACACAGTAATAAAGCCATATACCCTGTCCTATGGAAAGAGACCAACTCCCTAACTCCAGACATCTGTCTGTAAAACGACTACTCACCTGAGGAGATAGGATGAGCTCTGTGCCTTGACAGAGAGCCAAGAGCATCCTTCACACATGTTCTTAGTTATCGCTCTGGTACTACCCATGGATTTGCACATGTCCTGCTGCTCACTCTGTCTCTGCAAGCAAGCAGTCACTTTATAGACAGATGTCTAGAATTAGAGGGCTGATCTCCAGCCATGAAGAATACATTGTTCACTGACTGTGAATTCAGGCACATGGTGGGCAGTGTTCAGTCAGAATCAGAAACTTCCATTCTAGCAAAGCAATGGCGCTCATGCCAAAGAATGGATGGGCTCTTCTTCACCATGAGCCAGAACTTGATAAAAATTTTCACCTTGAAAAAACCCCCCCAAACTTCTCATCTGTTATTCAGATATTTAAAACTTTTCTTATCAATTATCTACTAATCACCTAGGTTCTCCTTTCTGCACACTCTGATGGTCTCATATACTGTATGTTAACTCATTTCATGGAATGCATATTATGCCCTGCCATCTATTTAGTAGCAAATAAATGCTAGTCAATAATAGAAAAGCAGCAGCAACTAATTGACTAAATCACTATTTTTCCTCAAAGATGAGGGAAACCTTGATCAGTCCATCCACAGGTTCCGTAATAATCACAGGAAAATGATAAATATTGACATTAATCCTTTACTTTTCCTCTCTTCTTACTCTGAACAATGGTTATGCATTACACTGTTACAACATCAAATACAGTCAGCACAGACCTCAAATGCAGTGAGTAGACTATGTCAGATAAAAAGAAACTTTTAGGTTAGCATATAGGTTTCAAACACTCAAACTGCCCTTAGTTTCCCTACTCACTGTGGACAGGTGCAGGAATTGAAGGCTGAATATACATCCTAAGTAACCAAGGCAATGGTAAAATGCCTTCGCGCTTTTGTTAGCCACCCACCTGTGACCATCGCCCTCTACGGTCCATTAATGGATGAAGTAGCCTCCCTAACCACACTTCTACCTGGGGTTCCCTCAACAGGTACTCTAAAAACAATTCTGAAAAACAGTTTATACACATGTCATTTATAACTTTATTTTGTTACAAACACCATATATTAAAACAATTTAGACGATTATTTCATTTACTTTTATATGAAAAATACTTATGAAAAGGCTGATTATGACTTCCAGCCAAGGAGACGTACTCTGCCTCCTTGCACAACCAAAAGAAGGGCAACAACAATTTGAAAACAAAAAAACCACCAGTGCTGACAGAAAACTGAACTGTATGGAAGTCTCACAACCAAGGAGTTAAAGTAGACACATTCATCCAGACAGGCAGAAAAAACAGAGTCAGGGAGCCAGGACGGAGAAGGCTCATGGCAGGGCAGCTGGCAGACCCAGGGCGTGGGGTGGCAGTGGGCAAACCCAGCGAGGCAGTGGATTGTGGATGGGCACGGCATGCAAGGCGGCTGGCAGGTCCAGTGGTCCCACATTCGCTCGCATATCAACTAGGTGAAACTGGGGAACAAGACGGACCGTGCAACCCAGGGTCCCAGTGTGGGGAAATAAAGCCTCAAAACACCAATTGAAAACACCTGTGGGGGTTGAGGTGCCGGGAGAAACTCCCAGCCTCACAGAGAGTTCGTTGGGGAAACCCACAGAGTCCTAGAACGTACACAAGCCCACCCACCCAGGAATTAGTACCAGAAGGGCCCAGTTTGCTTGGGGAAGCAGGGGAAGTGACTGAAATATGGCAGAGAGTGGAGCAAGCGCCACTGTTCCCTCTCGGACCCCTCCCCTACAAATAGCGTCATAACCCAGCAACTGGGTTACCCCGCCCGGGTGAAAACGTTCAGGCTCTGGCCCTACTATGTAACAGGTGCATCAAGACAAAAAAATACAAACAAACCAAAAACGGCCCAAACAAAAGAAGAGATCAAAGCTCCAGAAGAAATACGACTAAGTGACGAACACAGCACCAACCTACCAGATGCACAGTTCAAAACACTGGTTATCAGGATGTTCACAGAATTGGTTAAATTTGGTCACAAATTAGATGAAAAATGAAGGCTACACTAAGTAAAATAAAGGAAAATGTACAGGGAACCAATAGTGATGGGAAGGAAACTGGGACTCAAATCAATGGAGTGGACCAGAAGGAAGAAAGAAACATCCAATCAGAGAAGAAAAGAAGAAACAGATTCAAAAAAGTGAGGAGAGACTTTGGAACCTCCAGGACATCTTTAAATGTTCCAACACCCGAATTATAGGGGCACCAGAAGGAGAAGAGGAAGAGCAACAAGTGGAAAAGTTATTTGAAAAAATAATAAAGGAGAACTTCCCCATTTTGGCTAAGGAAACAGACTTCCAGGAAGTCCAGAGAGTCCCAAAGAAGTTGGATCCAAAGAAAAACACACCAAGGCACATCATAATTACCTTAGCCAAGATTAAAATGAAGGAGAGAATCCTAGAAGCAGCAAGACAAAAGGAGACAGTTACCTACAAAGGAGTTCCCATAAGACTGTCAGCTGATTTCTCAAAAGAGACCTTGCAGACAAGAAGGGGCTGGAAAGAAGTATTTCAAGTCATGAAAGGCAAGGACCTACATCCAAAATTGCTCTATCCAGCAAAGCTTTCCTTTAGAATGGAAGGGCAGATAAAGTGCTTCTCAGATAAGGTCAAGTTACAGGAGTTCATCATCACCAAGCCCTTATTATATGAAATGTTAAAGGGACTTATTTAGGAAAAAGATAAAAAACATGTACAGTAAAATGACAGCAAACTCACAATAATTAACAACCACACCTAAAATAAAAACAAACTAGGCAAACAACTAGAATAGGAACAGAACCACAGAAATGGAGATCACATGGAGGGTTATCAACAGGGGAGTGGGAGGAGCAGAGAGGGGGAAAAGGTACAGAGAATACGTAGCATAGATGGTAGGTAGAAAATAGAGGAAGGGTAAGAACAGTATGGGAAATGTTCTACCAAAGAACATATGCATGACCCATGGATATCAACTAAAGGGGGGGAATATGGGTGGGAGAGGAGGCAGGGGAGTGAAGGGGGGAAATGGGACAACTGTAATAGCATAATCAATAAAACATATTTTTTAAAAAGACTGATTGATTATAAGATGGTGTAAACTTTGGCACATTTCTTAAGGAAAGAATAAAAATCAGTTGGGCGAATTACATATGTAACAGATGATCAAAAGATAAAGCTAGCAAACTGAGCTCCACACGTAGGTCTAGCGGCCAACGTTAACAGTAAAGACAATGCTGTGCGAGTTTTACTGCTTTGCTCTCTGGCGCCATTCTGCACATACTTTCTATTTTTGTGCACGGCTGGCTGGATACTTTCATAGCTTCTCTCTTCGGTCTCATTGGACACCAAGAGCCATCTTCTTGGAATTTGATCTCATCCACATCAGAACAGTCATTGAGAATTTCCATAAAAAGCCTATAAAGCAATCAAGCACATAAATGTCATTAGTGGCTTTGTTCAAAGGGGAAACTGTAACAAAGAAATACTACCTTGGAGACAAAAGTGATGATATCTAACTTGAGTTTTGTTTCTTTTGGCATTTAAATACTCCAGACTTTAGGACAAGTAGTATACCCCCTTCCTCCTAGATTTTAGATCTTCAATGGGCAATAAAAATGTGAACTGACTTACTGGATCATCTAAAAAATAATGGCTAAACAGAAATAGACACCAGGAGCCTCCCAACAGAGATTGGCAGTAAAGGGCAACCTTGAACACAACACATAAAATATACATAAGCAAACAAAATGTTATGAAAATTCTATAAGCTTATTATCAAGGAAAAAGGTTCATAGGGGTGTGGAATAAAAGAAGAAACAGAGGTATGTCTCAATAAATTTAAAATAACTCAGCATACAAGTTATATACAGTGTTTCTTGTATCTTATCTTCATCAATAAATGTCTCTATTTTTTATATTATATGGCTGGACACCTTCTGGACAGAGTTCATATATTAAGAAGAAATGTGATAAAACAAATATGGGAGAATCTTAACAACTGACCACCTCAGTCAAAGTTACACAGGACACTCTTTGTGCAACTTCTCTGTAAGTTCACAATCATTTCAAAATAAGTTAAAAAGATTTAAAAAGTAAAAATCCAGTAAAGTTAAAGTTTATATTGAGAAAAGTGAAAGACTCATTCACTCTTCATTGCTTCATTCGTCTAACTGTAATACTCTTTTAAAACATAATTATACTTCTAGTACATATATATCATGCAATTTTTATAAAGTATATTTTAAAAAGGGTATCTCATTTATTAATAATTACTTATATCATTTTCCTTAATTCTCAGACATGTAGTATGATATGAAAGATAATGCTTAAGTGTTCGGACTCCGGAGTCAGAAAAACCTGGGTGTGCATCCCAGTTCTGAACTTACCAGCTACGTGACATAATTCTATCTACCCTATCGCCTGCTCTGTCTGCATTTTTGCAGAAACCCTAGTTGCTCTTCACAAAGTTCTAGCAAAATAACGTCACAAAGTAGACCATCCCCCCTTTTGTACAAGCTGTGAAATAAGACTTTGGGAAGCAAAAAGAAAAGGAAACTACTCTCCCTCTTGCCCCCAACAGAAATCATAAAGATAAAACTTCCACTACCCACAGTTTAAAAATAAGGCTGAGTATAATTAAGTATAAAGCAGAAAACACAAACATCTGGACTTTATGCTACAGGACATTTTATATGAGGCTGTAATGAATGGAGACAAAGCTAATATTTATGTTGGCACATACTTACCCATCTAAAATTAGACTTTCATAGGCAGCTTTCTTGTCACATACAGGACAAATCCAGGTGGGCTTCTTCTCATTCATTTGCAGATAAAGAGCAGCATCGAAACACTGCAGATGTGTACAAGTCACTGCTCGGCACGGGATTGTCAGCCTCATTTTCCCTAACTACGAGCAGGAAAAAGCGCAAGCAAGACCATTTCAGAAAGGACAACAAAACCTCAGAGGGAAGTCAGTCAATAAAGTCTGAAGAAATCATACAAGAAGATCAAAATGGAAAAAAAATTCAAACCAGAATTTATTTCCATCAAGATTGTTGTATGTTTTATTAGCATTCACTGGTTGCCCTATAATTTTTAAAAGATCATTTCATTTTTTGAAAATAGGTAACATGTAAATTCACAGGTAGGAAGAGATCCATATACAATGAAAACATGTCTCTTTCTCACCTGTTCCCCTATTTAGAAAAGAGAACAACTGTGACCCATCTCTTCCATATCCTCTCATAGATGTTCTATGCATAATCAAGTGTGTGTTCTAAAAATCATTTTCACACAAATGGCAGCATAAAACACACACAAATTTGAACCTTCTGTCACATAATATAACTTGGCATTTGTTCCACATATATCAGTATAATAAAAGCTACCACCACATGAAGATACCATAACTGATCAGAAGGATATGACATGATGGATCAGAATGTGAGCTTGAAGGTTTGCATAAAGCTAGAGTAGAGAAGGTCCTGGGTCCAAACACATGCCCATAAGGCCTCTGCCTCGCTCCCCACCCCCCACTCAGGGCAGTAATATCCTCCATTGCTGGAGCTACAGACCTTATTCTCTCTGGGTTTTATAACTATAGGTTTGTAATTTCTAAGCAATCCCAATTTCATGTAATTCTCTCCCTTTTCAATAAAGTTATTTCAGTTAATGATTAAAAAAGAAAGCTTCAGAAGAAAGATATACACAAACACTGCTTTCCAGGGTGGTAGAACGGCGGACATGTAATCAGGGACCTTTTATGTTAGCCCAAAGGGACAATACAGTATAGTGTTAAGAGAACCAGAATGATGCCAGAAGACCAAAATGTTTGTCCTTGTTCTCCTAGTTATTACTGTGTGACCTGGGTTACCCAATCGTTCAGTCTCTGTTCCTCATTCTGCAAACTGAAAACAATTCCCACACACATTTTGCTAAGGCAGTTAAACAAGGAGCGCCTAACAGGAACTTGACAGATTATTCCTTTCTCGAAAATAATTCTTTCTCCATTAAAAAAAAAAAATACAGGGGGGGCAAAAGTAGGTTTACAGTTGTTTGTATGGAAAATGATACATTAATAATACAAGAATAAACTGTGTTTTGCATCCTCACAAACAAGTATAAACCTACTTTTGCTCCACTCTGCTTATTTCTCACAACGGTGACTGGTCACCAAATGTCCCCTACACTACATTACAAATTCCTGATTCCAAATAAAGTCCCTTTCATACAGGCAGGTCCCCTCCAACAGTACTGATTTTAAAGAAGCCTTCACCCACTATTCCTGCCCTTTCCCATCTCTCCTCTTGTACTTCAATAGCACAACTATATGTGGTAAGTCCAGTCTTCTGCTTTTTCATGTGAGTTTGTTTTCTCTCTCAAACTAGATGAGTAACTTTCTAAAAACTTTTCATCAAGTCTCCAGTATTTTCTCTGACAATTAGCTCAGTACCAAGCACACACGAGGACCTAGCTTGCTGACCAATTCTCCCCATAGTCTCTATATTAAGAGATATAAAATAAAAACTACTGTGCAATTTAGAAGTACATTACAAATGAATTAAGGCATCTCTTGCTCTGACTGGTGTGGCTCAATGGGTTAGATGTCACCCCAAAAACCAAAAGGTCGCTGCTGATTCAATTCCTGGTCAGGACACGTGCCCGGATGGTGGGCCAGGTCCTCAGGCAACCAATCAATGTTTCTTTCACACATCAATGTTTCTCTCCCTCTCTTTCTCCCTCCCTTCTTTGTTCTCTAAAAATAAATTAATACAATCTTAAAAAAAAAAAAAGACATTTCATACACTCACACATTCTACCTCAATTAAAGCAGAACCATCAATTAGCATTTTATTATGTCCTAGCAATTTTATTTTGATAAAAGGAGCAACTTTCTCTATATCCTTATTATTAGCTGTAGTTTATTTACAGCATTAACTGTAACAGATTATTCTGAACCTAAAGTTCTCTTCCCTCTTCAATATTACTGGGTTGGCCAAGAAGTCTGTTCAGTTTTTTTTCCATAGAAGACACATTTTTCATGTTCACTAATAACTTTATTGATCTGGATATCTGGAGTATGTCAGCTATCTCTCACATGGTATAATGTTGATTGTTCTCACTGTCTTGATTTGATTGCTATCAACTTCAACTGGTCTACCCGCCATAAAGCATTGTCCGTGAGAAATCTCCAGTGTGCAACTTCACAAACCAGTTTTGACACATTCAATCAGTCACAGGACTCTTCCATACACTAAACAAATCTATCTTCATGTTTCAGTGGTGTTTTTTACCTTTGTTGAAAACATAAAGCATAATATGCTAAGAAGTTGCATATTTTCTTCTATTTTCAATATTAAAATGGCTACACAAAAAATTCACCAATTTTGATTAAGTTTTAAAAAATGAACGCTGATTTGACAGCTGTCACAATACAACCTAACGAAGTTGTCTCAAATGACGTCAAAGACAAGTAAGCGCTACTAGAGCCATCTTATGGGGAAAAAAACCAACCAAGTTTTTGACCAACCCAGTAATATCCTTTCAGGACTATTCTTTGGCCACTGCCTTTCTTTGGAATTATAATGCTTAATCATGAAGATTCCTCAAGTGGAAAAATGACGAAATTTAAGAATTCTATCAAAGTCATTATCACACTTTCTTTTCTAGGAAAAGTATTAAGTTATAAAAAGTAAAACATCCCAGAACGTTTTGTTGCTTTACTTACGGGGCACATCAAGGATACCCGAAGGCTAGTTGTAGCAATTTCACTATCAGGATCTGCAGTAAGTTTTTCTTTAACTTTAAAAAAAGAAAAAATAATAATAAACATTTTTAAAATTAATTGTGACATGTGAACAGAGTTATAGAAATATATATCATCTTATTTAAAGTTCCTCAGTTTGAACAGATCAACAAACTACAAAAACAAAAAAACAAAAAAACAAAACGTTCAAGTATTAATGTATTGAAAACACAATCATACTTCCAGTATTAGGTTAAAGAATTCCAAACTTACAAACTCTGTATCACATGTTTAATTGAAATTTTAAACTAAAGTTGCAGGTAAGAAGAGTTTCTAAACAGAAAACTATTTAAGATTTAAAAACAAAACAATTAGGAAAAGAACTTGGAAAACAGCAGTTACTCTAAACTTCAATGCTATTTTAACACACATCAACGACAGTTTTTATTAGGAAGTACTGGTTGGTTGCAACAATTTCTAAGTTTGTAAACAGAAAGATAAAATAGTCTTATACTTCCTTTGACAACTAAAAAATAATATGGATGTGGTAATGTGCCTGTGATTTCATTCACCAGATAACTACATATGGAAGCTAATAAATATATGCATTGCCTTTGGATGCCTAATTCTCAAAACCATTATAGGGAGAACGGGACTGGAACTGGACACAGTGGAATGGGGCGAGAAAAAGTAGGAAAGCACTTTCTTAACTTCAAGAGCTTCCAGGTCTAGGCAAGAAGATCAACAATGTGCTGTCTGAGGAGATTAGAAATGGTCTGAGTTAGAAAAAACAAAATACCATTTCAAAAGCCCTACTTGGCTCCCCTTTCAACCTTTCCTCCTTTCTGGTTCATTCAGTGGTATGGGAGGTAATCGGGGGAAGAACATTTTCTTTTTCAGAAAAATGTCCTGTTTAATTAAATTTAGCTACTGAAGTATTTACAGTTTGAGTTAGGCATTTTTCTCTACCTATTACTGTACATTATAAAAGAACAAAATAAAACATCTCAGAAGGCAAATATTATTGGTGGACATCAGCTTAACTTTAGCAAAAAGAAAGAGCTTTTTATTGTTTAGAATTTTTTTTAGCCCTGGCTGGCATAGCTCAGTGGATTGAGCGCGGGCTGTGAACCAAAGCATCACAGGTTCGATTCCCAGTCAGGGCACATGCCTAGGTTGCAGGCCACCGCCCCCAGCAACTGCACATTGATCTCTCTCTCTCTCTCTCTCTCTCTCTCTCTCTCTCTCTCTCTCTCCCCCCCCTTCCCCTCTCCAAAAAAATAAATAAATAAAATCTTTTAAAAAAAAGAATTTTTTAAAATGTACATCTTATTAAACACTGGACATTTTGAAAACTTGCATTCCTATTCTCAAGCCAATGTATATATCAATACTCAAAACTACCATAAACCTGATGTTTATTTAAGTGAGTTCTCATAAGAAGGCCCCAAATGAGACTGGTTGGGACTTGAAATTGATCCTCTTCAGAGTAGTTTCTAAGAGAAGGGTTTTCCCAATATATACGGCTATGTTCTTAAGAGAATTTTTAATTCAATATTCATTTTAGGTTTCTAATAATTATCCTTAAATTACTCCTATATTGATATATATGTATATGTGAGGCTTTTTTTCATTAAAGCATCTCATATGCTCAGTCTTACAAACATTACTTACTTAGTGCTCTGGAATGATCAGGGTTTCTAATACCTTTCATTTTTAATCTCTGTAATAACATGGCTGATGTGAGCTGTCGTACAAGATATACAGACATGGAGTAATTCTACAAAGAAAGACAATCTGTATTAAAGACGAGAGATAATAGTCCATTTACATAAAATACTTGTCTAAAAACCTCTGGTTTCTAAACATAACATTCAAAATAAGTTCCACAGGAAGGTCAATGACTGCTAAGGGAACAAAATCAACTCAGTTCCTTTAGGAAAGATAGCTCAATCACATTAAAGGTATTTCTCACTCACTACTTTAAAACATCCATGTGAAAGATAACATAGCTTAGATCAGTAGCTTTCAAACTGTTTTCTAATTTGGCAAAACTGCTATCCTAGGGACCATCGTGGTATGAATGAGAATGTACCTACCCTTCCATGCCAACTTCTGATTAAACTGTTGTTTTTACATAATGAGCTTTTCACAGTATTTTCATTGAAAAATGGGTTCCACTACAGAACATTCAACATCAGTGGTCTGAATTAACACTTCAAATCCAGAGTTCTGATTCTGGCATAAGAGATCACTTATTTTATGACCTTGAGCAATCACTTAAATAAACCCCAAATCAACTTTCTTTTGAAAGAAACTGACAAATTAACTCCTGTTTTGAAATGGACATTTTACTAGGGAAGGGGTACCTACTGCAGTATGTAAGACACATGAAGAAATGATAAAAAACAACCAAAACGACAAGGCTGGAACACAAGCATACAGTCCCAAACCTCTTCGATCTGGCACAAAGGAACCTTCATTAGCTATTTATAGAGCTATAAAGGGGTGACATATAATTTTATACCAAAATGCTAACATCTTACCATTTCATTAAATATACAAATTCAATCAATTCTATAATAAGCAGGCCCTGGCCAGGTAGCTCGGTTGGTTAGAGCATCATTCGCATACATCAAGGTAGCAGGTTCAATCCCCGGTCAGGGCACATACAAGAATCAACCAATGAATGTATAAAAAAGTGGAATAACAAATTGATGTCTCTCTCCCTCCCTCCCCATCCCTTCCACCCTCTCTCTAAAATCAATAAATTAAAACAAAAATGTTTAACTCTACAATAAAATACTTTTAAGTAGTTGCCAAACCAATTATTTTAAATGTCCTGAAAGTTTTTTTAAATCTGAATATGCAAATTAGTGTGTGGATTTAAGTCAATTAATTATTTTAATTACAAGGAAAAATACTATTCCCATTTGTGGCCAAGAGAAAAAAAGCTACCAGGTTTTCAATGTCTACAATTACTCAAAAATCAGAAACTTAATAATTATTTCAAAAATATATACTGTTCTGTTCAAACTCCTCTCACTAAGCTTTAAAGCATTAATCCCTACTCATTTAATGTCCCTCACATTTGTACACAAAACCCATTGTCAAGATTTTACTCGTTCTTTATACTAAGTAGGCCTCATGGATATAAGCAACTTCGCCAAAATCAAACAATGACCAACTTGGCACTAAACCAAGATTTTCTGAATCCTTTACCACTGCAATGATTTACCACTGCACATTCGGTTCATGCAAATGGAAAATATTAGAAATCAGTGCCCTAGGACAGTAAGTTATAGTAAAAATTCTAAAATGAGAGCTCAAAAGAACAATCACTAAAGAGAATAATATCTTTATAGTCCAAAAATTAATACAAAAATACTGTTCTTTATGTCTAAGTTCTATAATTACATTGGTTATAAAGCAAAAAAATTCTTGCTACAAATGTATTGACTCAACTTCTCTATCCATGAAATGGAAAATAGTATTTTTTCTCTTATAAAATAGCAACACTAAAGTTTATGTTCAGAAATTAACTGAAATTTTTGTCATTCTATTATTTCAGTTATATAAACAAGTAGTTTTTAAAAAATTTTTTTGGTTCTTTGTTTTTTTATATAATCTTTATTATATTTTTTCCATTGCTATTTAGTCGCCTTATACCCCCCCACCCCCAGCAAATGAACAGAAGTTCTAATCTAAAAATGCCTTGTTGTACTAATCAGTACCTCATACCTGAGATAATGCACTTTAAGAATCAGCAGAAAATCAGTTCATCAACCAAAAAGTTAAAGGAAATGATATAATTCTAAGTAAATGCTCTCAGGAGATGCCCACATGTTATCTAAGGTATCAGCTATTTATATAAATGCCGGAACAGATTACTTCTCATCACAACATGATTTAGCTATTTTTCCCAAAGCTAAATACAGTTTCTTTTTTCCTATTCATAAATACGTAACATCATCCCAACTTTCCAGTTTCTTAACATGCTATTTAAACACAATTAAGATTAAATCATGCACTACCTTAAGAAATATTGTAATTATACTTATTTCCCAGGAAAGTCAAGAGATGATACTAAGGAAATCTTAAAGTTTTTAACCTTAAGAATCTCCACACCTCCACCCCTGAACTGGAAATTACTGCTTTTTAGAAATTACAGTCAGAAAACAAAACAAACTGGAGCTAGTAGCCTAAGAAAAAACAGGAATAAATCAACTCCTAGTGGGATTACTTTCATGCTGCCCGGAGGACAGAATCTTTACCTTTCCGATTTCTGATGCCCAGGAAATGGAAATCTGATTTGGCACAGCTGAAGATAACCTGACTAAAGACGTAATATTCAAAGGGCGTCCAGGGCGCTTCTGTTCAATCCCATTTTTAGGTGGTGGTGCATAGCCCTACAACCGTAAGAAAGAAGTTAGATTTAATTCTCTGTAGACAATTAAATATTTCCTCCAAAACAGATACAGGATCTTGTCTAATTTCAGTTACACTGATTATTTTTATTTTACACTGGAAATCACAGAGTCTCACCCAAAGGTCATCAATCCAAAAGAGAAAAATGACCTTTTAAAAAAGTTATCAAAGATTTCACAAGTTCAGAAAAGTACCTAACCTCACCCCCAAAATTCAGAAGTATCTTACTTGCACTTCTGACAAAAGTTACTACTACTTTAATACTACTTGTAATACTACTACTTTAATACCAACACAGATTTACATTTTTGCTTTATATTATTAAAAATTTTCATGTATAAAAGTAGAGAGAACAGTAAGTACTCACACCACCTAGCTTCAATAATTAACATGCTACTAACTGTGCTTCGGTCACTTCTGGCCCCACCATCAGCTCACACCCAAATACATATCTCACACACTTTTGGCTTTGCCCCTGAATATTCAAATGCAAGTTCTTGATATGCCATTTGACTCAGAGATACCTTTATAGCTTTTTTATTAAGACCTTTAAAAACTATCACAACTTTACAAAATTAACCCTAATTTTTAAAAATTTTCTAATTTATAAGTTTATATTCCAGTTTCCCAACTCCCTCAAAGATGTCTTTTAAGTTTTTACTATTGAAAAATTTCAAACATATACAAAAAGACAGAAAAGTGTAATGAGCTCCCATATACCCATCATCTAACCAATAATTCATTTACTCACAACCAGTCTTTACCTCCCCGACCCCACCTCCTGGTGAATAAAAAGCAACTTACAGGCAAAGGAAAGAGCTTCCCATTTACTTTTATACACAGACTATTGGGATAGTTATCCTCTTGAGGGCAACTGGTCTCTGCCAAGCAAAGTCTGCATTACAGAAGGAAAAAGCAAATATTCTTAAATAGTATACTCAAACATGATTATATATTTACAAATTCCTGATTATATGCACCAGAGTTATTAGCAAGTGGTATTAAAGCAACAAAAAATTCAAACTCACCTCAGCTGAACTTGAACTGTATAATCTCTCCTACCACCTGGCAAAAAATCCCTGTTGAAAAGAGAAAGAAATTGGGTTAAGAAAGCACAATGAGAATTCATAGGAACGCTCTTGCCAAAAAACAAGCAAAACACAAACAAACAAAAACCTCACAACAAAAAAAAACCCAACCTTAGTATTTTTATTCTTAGTTCTTAGAAGATGAACACTAGCATACCAATAGCACAAGCCTTAATCAAGACACTGAGGTGATGATAACCCTCATTTATTTAACATTTAATCATGTCTTTATGGTAACTTTAGGGTATTTTCACTTCACAGAAACTTTTACAATGCATTATGCATCTCAATACACAACAGAATTGGTTAACATGAAGAGGAGCCCCCTAGGTTCTAAAAGAGACTAATAAATTAATTTGTTTGCTTATAGTGGTTCTCAACCTTGGCTAAGAATTCTAATCACTTGCTAATTTTTTTTAATACAAAGGCCCACTCAGCAGATATCCCTATTGGTCTGGAGTACAGTCTGAGCACCAATAGTTTCTACAGCTACTCAGGTGAATCTAACATGAAACCAGGATAAAGAACTGGTGCCTGGAGTCTCAGTATCTCTACACCAGCAATTTTCAACTGGGTGCCACAAGAATTTCTAATACATGCAATATCTGACGATTCATGTCAATATCTGACGATTCAAGTCAGGGGCACTGACCTCTTTTCCCTTAGATTGTCAAATTAAAAAATGACAACAGCCACAATAGCCGTCCATGGTGAATGCCCTGTCTTGAACCATAAATATATAGGTCATACAACAGAGTTGCATCTTACTGATCATTTGTATAATAAGGTTGCATCTGATTGGTTAATTCTTGGTGCCAGAAACCCCTATATACAAGTACAGGCCCTGATGTTTTAAGTCACTTTGGAGCAAAAAAGGTAGGTAACATACTTTTTTTTTTTGTAAATCAATCAAAATTATACCTACCTTTTTCTAGTAAGATTGGCAAAAAATGTATTTTTTCGGTGTGCTGCAGAATTTTAGTAATGAGTTTATGTGTGCCACGAGATGAAAAGGGTTGACTAGTGCTACTCTATACCACGGCAAGTTCATAATTACATATCCAATTAAGGACACAGAACCTCTTAGAATTTCTACATGAGAACCTAACAGAGTCCCCTATAAAATATCTTTGGCAGTGACACCTTCCAAATCCTTGCCATTCAAAATGGAACCCACAAGTTACTCTTTGGAAGCTTGCTAGAAATGCAGAATCTCAGGCCCCACTCCAGATCTACAAAATTAAAATCTGCATTTCAACAAGATCCCCAGGTGGCACCTATGAACAATTTAAGTGGTAATGTCCTCAGCCATTACCATAAATCTTGGACTTTTCAGAGAGGGTATCTTTAGAGATTAGTCATCTTGCTCTGACTGGGCCATTCTCACGGTTTCCAGTTCTCTACATTCACTGGGAGGCAGGAAAGCACAATAGGCACCAGCTTGAGTTCTACAGCCTCACACTATATGACCTTGGGCAAATTACTTAACCTTTCTTTTTAAAGATTTTATTTATTTTTAAACAGAGGGGAAGGGAGGGAGAAAGAGAGGGAGAGAAACATCAATGTGTGGTTGCCTCTCATGCACCCCCCTCACTGGGGACCTCGGCCTGCAACCCAGGCATGTGCCCCAACTGGGAATCAAACCAACGACCCTTTGGCCTGAAGGCCTGTGCTCAATCCATTGAGCCACACCAGCCAGGGCCTTTCTCTTAAAAAAAAAAAATATATATGTGTGTGTGTGTGTGTATATATATACATATACACACATATATATATATATACATATATATATATGTGTGTGTGTGTGTGTGTATACATATTTATTTATTTTTAGAGAGGGGGGAGGGAAGGAGGAAGAGAGGGAGAGAAATATTGAGCAGTGGCTCTTGTACACACTTTGACCCAGGACCGAATCTGAGACCTGGGCAGGTGCCCTGACTGGGAATCAAACAGGCAAACTTTTGCTTTGTGGGCAATGCCCAACCAACTGAACCACAAAGGTCAGGGATATTTAACCTTTCTGTTCCTTAGTCTCTACATCTGTTAAAGATGGAAAATCACTGCACCTACCTCATGAAGTCTGTGATGGTTAAATGTGTTAATAATCCATGTAAAGTGCCTAGATATAAGATTGTGCAAGCAGCTGACTACTATTACTAACTCTCCTCTGTCTCCCTTGCCAGTGGTGGTCCCCACCCTCCTAAAATGTCTATTCAAAACATCCCTATATCCTAGACAACACAGAGCTCTTATGAGTAACCCATTATTCATTCCACTCATTCAAATCAAGAAATATTTCAGTCTGGGTGCAGGGGCTTCAAAGGCTAGCAACACATTTTTGGTTTTGTTCTCAGAAGTCTTACAATGCCAGTAGTTAACAGATATACACAACTAAAGTAAAATGTGCTAAGTACAAAAGAAAATTATGAAAAGCAAGTGCTCCAGAAAAAGAGAAATTTAATTCTGTCTCAAAAGTTTAAGGCAGTAATCAGTGTCCAAAAAATTGGAAAACAGGATTTGTACAGTAGTTGTTCTGCTTATTTCTACTCAAAGTAGACATGCTTTTATCAGTCACAGTGGCTTCACTAGTGCAGTGATTCTCATCCAAAGGAAAGGTTGAGGATCAACCAGACCTACACAGCAGAATCTTGTTAGGTTAGGGAACAGAATTCGAAAAAAGAGAAATGACAAAAACATGAACACAGTAACAGAGATGGAAGCATGTTATAAATGCTTTTTAGTAGCTCACTAAGGATTTATACTTTGTTCCAGTAAGAGAAATTATCAAACTGGGAAACGCAAAGTGCTAATTATCTTCACAAACACTATGAGTAATGGCTAAGCATCTTCTGACATTCATTTTCTGCCAGTTTCACAGTTGTGGGAACTTGCATATGTTGACCTCATTTATCAGATATAAAGCAGGCACTGACTGTATGCCAGGCACTGTGACAGGCTTCTGAAATATAAAAATGACTAAGAGATGTTGTTTTCATTAAGAAGTTCATAAATGTAAGTAGTCAAATAAATGCAACGATGTTTTCACAGAATATAGTACATAGTACAATGAAAGACAAAGGATGTGTTTGGGGAAATGGGGAAAGGTATTCCAGAAGAGGTAAGACTGGAACTGGCCCTTAAAGCAGAGTAGGAAGAAAGAGAGTATGTGAAGAGCTGCGAATCCTACTCAAAAAGAAACAATATGTGCCTAGTCTCCAAGTATCTCCAAGGCATTTTTTAATAACAAAGGAAAAAACAGCAATTTTACAGTGCAAAAATCTTACCCAATACCTTATCCAAATAATCAAGGTTAACATTACCAAAAATAAGATGTATCAATATTATGCAGCCCAATGACACACTGAGAAGGGGTTGTAACTTGGGGTATTCTTCCAAAAATGCCTAATCTCAACCTAATCATGACAACATAGAAGACAACCCAAACTAAGGGACATGTACAAATACCTGAGTCATATTCTTCGAAAGTATCAACAGTTATGGAAGACAAGGAAAAACCAAAAAACTGTCACAGATTGAAAGAAACTAAAAATGACCCAATTAAAAGTGATTTAGGACCCCAAATTGAATCCAAGAACAGAAATTCAATGGCAGAAAAACTGGTAAAATCTGAATGAAGTTTGTTATTTAGTTAACAGTATTTTACGCAGGTTGATTTCTTGGTTTTTGATAATTACAGTGTGGTTATGCAAAATGTTAATATTAAGGAAAGCTAGGTGAAGAATATATATATAATTTTTACAACCTTTCTGTAAATCTGCTATTAAAGTAAAAAAATCTTTTTTAAAAATTTATGAACCTTTTAATTTTTGATTTGCTTTTTTTTAAATATATTTTATTGATTATGCTATTACACCACTCCCATTTCCCCCCCTTTATTTGCCACTACCCCCAGGTCATGTCCATGGGTTGTACATGTAAGTTCTTTGGCTTCTACATTTCTTATACTATTCTTAACCTCCCCCTATTTTGCACCTACCATTTATGCTACATATTCCCTGTACCTTTCCCTCCAATTCCCCCCTCCCTCTTCCCACTGATAAGCCTCCATGTGATCTCCATTTCTGTTCCTGTTCTAGTTGTAGCTTAATTTGCTGTTTTTTTTTAAGGCTCACTTGTTTATAGTTTTGAGTTTATTGTCATTTTACTATTTATAATTTAGATCATCTTCTTTTTCTTAGATTAAGTCCCTTTAATATTTCATATAATAAGGGCTTAGTGATGAGGAACTCCTTTAACTTGACCTTATCTGAGAAGCACTTTATCTGCCCTTCCATTCTAAATGACAGCTTTGCTGGATAGAGTAATCTTGGATGTAGGTTCTTGCCTTTCATGACTTGGAATATTTCTTTCCAGCCCCTTCTTGCCTGCAAGGTCTCTTTTGAGAATCAGCTGACAGTCTTATGGGAACTACTTTGTAGGTAACTGTCTCCTTTTGTCTTGATGCTTTTAAGATTTTCTCCTTATCTTTAATCTTAGGTAATGTAATTATGATGTGCCTTGGTGTGTTCCTCCTTGGGTCCAATTTCTTTGGGACTCTCTGAGCTTTCTGAACTTCCTGGAAGTTTCTTCACCAGATTGGAGAAGTTCTCCTTCATTATTTTTTTCAAATAAGTTTTCAGTCTCTGGCTCTTCCTCTTCTCTTTCTGGCACCCCCATGATTCAGATGTTGGAACATTTAAAGTTGTCCTGAAGGTTCCTAAACCTCTCCTCATTATTTTGAATTCTTGTTTCTTCATTCTGTTCTGGTTGAATATTTCTTTCTTCCTTCTGATCCACATAGTAGAATCCTGGTTTCCTTCCCATCACTGTTGGTTCCCTGTATAGTTTCCTTTTTTTCCACTTTTCATAGCCTTCATCAAAAAAATATCTTGCAAGTCCAAAGTAACACACATTTAAATGTTTAAATACTGAAACAACTCAGAAAATTTGAATATAGGCTAGACAGGGTTTTATATTAAGGAATTATTAATTTTTAGTGTGATTGTGTTAACAATTAATCAGAAATGCATTTTAAGGTATTTCTCGGTGAAATCATATGATGTCTGTGATTTGCTTTAAAATATTGCAGGAAAAAATATGGAGAGTAGGTCACACAGAGACTACCAAAATGTTGGTAATTATTGAAAGCACAGTAATGGGTATCAAACTTTTACTTCCACTTAGAAAGATGTTGTTTTACTATTTTATTAGAACTCTGAAAAGGTTGGGATTTATATAAACATGTGTATATGTGTTTCATTTTGTTTTCTTTGGAGGGAGAATTATTTACTTTTATCATTACTTTAAAAAATGTTGGTGGTTAAATATACATTAAAAAAATTTATCATGTTAACCATTTTTAAGTGTATGGTTCTGCAGCATTAAATACATTCCCATTATGGTGATACCATCCATCTCCAGAACATGATTAAAAATGCATCCTGAAATTAATTATTTAAATTTTAGTCATTCATTTCTTGATTAGTTAATACATCCATGAAGTTAAAACTTCAAAAAAAAAAGGGTTTAAAAATGTATCTTGAAATCTGTATCTTTAAATCTACTTACTGTCAATAATCTCCTTCCTTCAAAGGCCCACCCAAAATTCTAATAAAGTTTTCCCAGACCGCCAAAGTTAAAAGTAATCTCCTGTAAATCAGCTCTCATTTGTCCGTACTAAATTTGTTCTTTTCATATACACCTGGCAATGCCAATGATCATTTTATGTACATAAGCTGGTTCACTAACAAGACTGTAAGCAACTTTTAGAAAGGGGTCATATCACATAATATAGTTCTTTGTACCTAATAAAACACTTAATAAATGCTGACTTCAAGCAAGGGATAACCCCCTATAGGGAACCGATCAGCATGGCAATGGCAAATGTAGCCCAGCATGGATCTGGAAAGCCGATTGAACGTGAGGCAGCACACAGAAGCCAGGCGTGCAGATCGGCTTTCCCGTGGGGAATCAGCCATGCATTGTACCTGGGCTGCTATGAGACCTGCTTTTGCTAAAACTCCCTCATCCTGAGTTAAAACGGCAGATGTTTAATGTGTATCTCTGAAGCAACTCCCTAAAGTCTGTGCTAAGACATCCCAAGGATGAAATGTAACCAAATCAATCATTTTTATCGTTTCCTTGCACTTGCAACATTTTTTCTTTTTTTGTTATCTTTAAGAAGTAATCACTTCACTAAATCTAGAAATAATGAGAACCTTCTTTGATGTAATTAGACTGGAAAGCAATAAAAGCCTATCCAGTCGAGGGTCGAGGCACTCTCCCTTTGAGAGAGTGGCCATGCCACCCCTTTTTCTCCATAGGACTCGGTAGTCCATGTGAATTTGTTTACCTCACAAATTCACAACACAGACTCCAGCGGGCCGGAGTCTGCATCAATCCCTGAATAACAAAACTTAGGTTAATGATACAGTTTTGGACATACATTATACTATTTAAGTTATTCTATTTACTTGTTGTTAGCTAGCTTATTATTATTCCCAAGATTGAAAGTACTTCTAATTTACAAAAACTCACTCAATACCTTGTTCCTGATGGACATAAACTACATGAACCTACATTCATTTTACTACTTTGGTCATTTCCTCCTCTCAATTTTCTCTTTTTTTCTGAACCCCATATTACTTGAATACTGGACTTTTTGGACTAACCATTGTACAATTTTTTAAAATTGAGTTTAGAGAGAGAGAAGAAGAGAGGGGAGAGAGAAACATCAATTTGTTGTTCCACTTATTTAGGTATTCATTGGTTGATTCTTGTATGTGCCCTGATGGGACCCAACCTACAACCTAGGTGTATCAGGATGACACTCTAACCAACTGATCCACCAAGAGTGAGAGAGGCTTTAGGAGAAAGCAAATCTGCCAACATCTTAGCCTTAGTCTTCAAGTCTCCAAAAGTGTGAGAAAATAAACTGCTGCTCTTTAAGCCACCCAGTTTGTGGTACTCTGTTACAGCAGCCTTAGCAGACCAATACACAGATACTCATGAAGAAATATATTCCAAACATTCCTCTTACCTGGATATGCATATCTCTCTAACTTGTTGAGGAGTCAGAGCAAAAATAAAAAACTTCTCTTGAAATCGTTGAATACTGCTTTGAACTGGAAAGGGGGAAAAAGATAATATTAAAAGAACAAATCCAAGCATATTAGCACCTGTAACAACCATAGGTAATTTATTGTACAATTATGCTCCTAGAAATCATGTCACGGAGTGCCTTATACCCTCCTAGGACATATGAAAACAGAGCTAAGAGAGGCAGGTTGTTTGTGATGAATGCCTAAAAATGAAACAAAACTCTAAGTCATAAACATAACTAGGGGGCATAAAACACACACACAGAACTGCAGTAGTGTCTTTCTACTTTTCCAATTCCTGTTTACTCCTCAATTCTTTATAATACAGATTCCACTTTCTACTTTCTATCACCAATGACTTCTTAACTGTCAAATTTAATCAACTACATTTGGAGATTATATATAAACATACTACATTTTCAATCTTATTTAATGGTAGAAGCACCCAGTTTCTCCAGCCAGAAACCTCAAACAGTCTAACACAGGTACAAACAGAATTCCAAAAGGAGAAAATGGGGCATAAAAATTTAAAGTAAGTAAAAGTTTTAAAAACTTAGAGGAATAATGGAAGACTATCCTATAACTTTGATGGGAGAGTGAGCAAAGCCCTTACAGATCAAACCCCAAGCAAAATAAATACAAAAAAAAAAAAAAAACCTAACTAATCACATCAAAACCAAATGACTGAAAACCAATGATGACTATAAATAAAATCCTGAAAGCACTCAGAGAAAAACCAAACCATTCCTACAAGGGAACAATACAAATAAAGCCTGACATCTCATCAGAAACAATGTAGGCAAGAGGTCCTCTTCAAGGTGTAAGAAACTGTCAACTGAAAATTCAATACCCTTCAAAAACAGGGTGAAAATAAGGACTTTCATATAAACAAAAGTCAAGACAATTTGTTGAAAACAGACATACACTACAAGAAACGTAAAAGGAAATTATCAGAATTTAAAATATTATACCAAATTCAAAATGAAGTTTTCAGGAATGAAAACCATCACAAATGGTAAATAAGTGGTAAAGGAAAAATATGCTGTTTTTCTTCTTATAATTTCCTTAAAAACATAACTTTGTAACTTTAAAGCAAAAGTAATGGAACTAAAAGGCAGGAGAAAAAACCATAAAGATATAACATTATCTACCCAACTTGCCTGAGCTTAACAACCACCTGGGACTCTTGCAAAAAACACTTAACCGCCTGCAGGGTTGTCCCACAGGGTTGTCCCACCTGCGGCCGCACGCAGCCTAGGATGACTGTGAATGGAGCCCAACACAACATTGTAAATTTATTTGAAACATTATGAGGTTTTCTTCAGGCCAAGATGGAGTGTAGGTAGACATACTGTGCCTCCTTGAACTAAAAGAAGCACAATAACAAATTTAAAAACAAAAAACAACCAGAACTGACAGGAAATCAAACTGTATGGAAGTCTGACGACCAAGGAGTTAAAGAAGACACATTCATCCAGACCGGTAGGAGGGGTAGGAGGGGTAGGAGGGGTAGGAGGGGCAGGAGGGGCTGAGACGGGCAGCTGGGCAGAGGGTACTTGGAGCAAGGCAGCAGCTGGAGGACCCAGTGAGTTAGTTAAGGTCAAGTTAAAGGAGTTCATCATCACCCATACCTTATTATATGAAATTTTAAAGGGACTTATCTAAGAAAAAGATAAAAAATATGAACAGTAAAATGACAACAAACTCACAGCTATTAACTGAACCTAAAACAAAAACAAAAACAAAAACAAATTAAGCAAACAACTAGAACAGGAACAGACCACACAAATGGAGATCATATGGAAGGTTATCAACAGGGGAGTGTGGTGGGGGAAGGTACAGAGAATAAGTAGCATAAATGGTAGGTAGAAAATAGATGGGGGGGGGCGTTAAGAGTAATATAGGAAATGTAGAAGCCAAAGAATTTATATGTATGACCAATGAACATGAACTAAAGGGGGGAATATGGGTGGGAGGGGGTGTGCAGGGCAGAGGGGAATAAAGGGGGGGGGAATGGGACAACTGTAATAGCATAATCAATAAAATATATTTTAGAAAAAAATAACTGAGAAGAAGAGAAAGACTGCCTAAACAGCTATCTAAGAGAACAGAGATTTGGGTTAGTTTGTTTTTAGATTAGGGATTCTCCATTTCTCAGAGTATCATCATAGGTATAGAGAACCTCATTTAGTGTTGCGTATACTCAGGTTTTCTAGATGCCAGTCTGACATTTTAATTTTTAAAAATATTTTATTTTTAGAGGGAGAGAGAAAGAGCTGGAGAAAAACATCAGTGTGTGGTTGCCTCTCACACACTCCCCAGTGGGGACCTGGCCTGGGGCACAAAACCCAGGCATGTGCCCAGACTGTGAATCTAACTGGCAACTCTTTGGTTCACAGGTAGGTACTCAATCCACTAAGCCATACCAGCCAGGGCTGGTCTGTCATTTTAAATGCTAAAATATTTTTATTTCGATCATTTTGAATAAAAATAATTCCAAACTGCAAAATGTAGAATAATGTATCTTCTTAAACTGAATATACTCACCATGGTTGGGTTTTTTGTTCTTTTGGGGGGGGGGGGGTCCAAGGGAGGGGTCAGCATCAATACATGTGTCATGCTGTAATAGCAATTCTTTTAATACTAAAGGGCTTTTGGTTTCAATATCCTAAGATATTCAGGAATGACATTTTTTACCTCTTTGTTTTTTCTACCATGGCTCTTCCAGTCTCTCCCATTTTGTCAATTCCTACTGAATAGTATGTTGATGGCTTATAAATCATCCAATCAACTGCATATAAAATAAAAAACTGGCTTGCAATTGTGAAAAATACATCCTTTGAAATTTGGATTTGATATCTCTTTTGACTCCTGAAGATTGTTATTTCTCAGCTCCCAAATGTAAACAGGTTTCTTCAGAGCAGTGTCCAAATAAATAAACTTTCCCAGAATTAAAAAGACATATTATTTATTTTTAGAGAAGGGAAGGGAGGGAGAAAAAGAGGGAGAGAAACATCAATGTGTGAAAGAAACATCAATTTAGTTGCCTCTTGTATGCATGTCAACAGAAGACCAAACCTGCCACCCAGGCATGTGCCGTGACCAGGAATTGAACCCACAACCTTTCACTCTGTGCAACAACACCCAAACCAACTGAGACACACCAGTCACAGCTCCAGGAATTTTTTTTATAAGTATTTTCAACATCATAAAACCATGCCATATTATATTGCCTTAGGCATGTGGCACTAAAAAAAAATCAGCTAAAGGTTTTTACTGGAAAGTATTAAATTTTTTCAACTTTTATTTGGCAGACTATATGGTACCTATGCTGATTTTTTAACTTTCTACCTCAAAGTCTAAAAGACCACTTCTTAGATCACTGTTTTATCAATCAGACATAATAAGACTAAGTATATTAAGAAAATTATTTTAGCCCTGGCTGGCGTAGCTCAGTGGATTGAGCGCGGGCTGGGAACCAAAGTGTCCCAGGTTCGATTCCCAGCCAGGGTACATTCCTGGGTTGCAGGCCATAACCCCCAGCAACCGCACATTGATGTTTCTCTCTCTCTCTCTCTCTCTCTCTCTCTCTCTCTCTCTCTATCTCCCTCCCTTCCCTCTCTAAAAATAAATAAATAAAATCTTTAAAAAAAAAAAAGAAGAAAATTATTTTTTCTCTCATGTAGAAGACAGAATAATGAAATGTTTAAACTTTGTTTTAAACAAGAATCAGTTTGTAATGTTTATAAAAACAATAATAAGGCAGGGCTCCTAGAAAATACAGTTTTTAGCTTAGGGGTATTGTAAGGCCTGAAATTATATATATATCTGGCATTATTTTATGTAAGCCAAATGAGATACAAAAGTTTTATTTTAAAAACTTATAAAAAACCTACTAGTTTTAATTTTATTGAAGTTAATGAAAGAGAAACTCTATGAAGAATCAATATAGAAAAGCAAATATTTCTATTTCTGAACGAAGCAGGAAAGTAAGGAGAGAAAGGCAGGAAACTTGCCCCGAGTTTACCACTTGGTACACCACAGATGCTAGTAAGCAGAGAAGACGCACTGCTGCATCTTCCGTCTCCCGTCATTCTTCCAGGCATTCAACCCTGCTTCTGAAACAGCTTCCATTGTGACCACGACCCCACAGGCCCTCATCTTCTCAGTCCTCACCCTGACTATACTCCAGAGGAGTTCCATGAGGTAGGATCAGCCAAGCATATCACTAGTCTGAATCTTTCTCAAAATACACACAAAATAAACTTGCAACTTGGCTGGTGCGGCTCAGTGGACTGAGTACCAGCTGGGAACTGAAAGGTCACTGGTTCAATTCCCTGTCAGGGCACGTGCCTTGGTTCTGGGCCAGGTCCCCAGAGGTGGGCGTGTGAGAGGCAACTGACTGATGTCTCTCACACATTCATGTGTCTCTCCCTCTCTCTACCCTGTCCCACATTCTAAACATAAAGAAAATCTTAAAAAAAAATAAATTTACAATCAATTGCTAAGAAACACGTATAAGCCATGATATTGTACACTGGTAAAAACCAAAAACCATGACAAAGGGAAAAATAAAATTAATTATAGAAATATTTTTAGATAAATGAAGCTGTATAAAAAAAGGGTTAAAGGTGAAAATACATTTTTTAAAAGGCAACTGAATAATAAACATTTACAGTGTTTGCTCCTACTAATTTTAGAAATAAAAAATCTAAGAGAGACGTGAGTCTTCTTTATCTATCAAAATCACAAAGATTTGTTTTTAATAACACTTAACAGAGGAAGGACATAAAGTGCACTGAGAAACATTCTTTCACTTTGTGTAATTTAAACTAGTATAGCTCTTCTGGAAACTAATTTAGCAATTGATATGTTATCAAGAGTAAAGTGTTCTTACTCTTTGATTCAATAATTCTACTCACAGGACTTCACAAAAATAATAAAATGTGAATAAACAAAGAATTCTTATTTCAGAATGAATGTAATGAAGAGATATAATGCACTGCTCTACCTGCCTATCTCAGTATTGTTAAATAAAAACAAAGCAAGGAAAAAGAGCCTGGAATAGGCATTGCCTCCTTGGCCTGCGAACCAATCGGGCCATGTTGACCCACATTAACCAGCTCTGCCTCTAGAAATTCCCTCCTGGTGCAGTCAAGATGTACTGTAATATAATGCTACACAAAGGATGGAGAAGAAAATAATCTGCCAGATTAACTATGAAATACCACTTTTCAAACAATTTATTTCATCAATAAATCCAAATACCTGTGTATATAATTTCACTTGGCAGTAAGAAATTATGCAGTTACACAACAGATGTCAATCAACCTAGGTAAAAAGGTGTTAAAGACACATGTATGAACTTTAAGTAATATGATAAAATTTATTAAATTTTCTGAGCAGCAAATCATTAATAGTTGAAGGCCTCTTGCTTTATTCGTTGTCCGGAAGAAATGGATTTGTCTAACACTTACCTAAACTTGTGGGCTTGATGAGAACATCAAGAACATCATAAAAGGGCAAGTTTTTTAACTGTACATCAGGATGGACAGGAGGAATTGGGGGAGATGGCTGCTGCATTTCAAACGTGGGTTTAGTATCTTGAAGCAACACAGAACCTACAGGGGAGGACGGTGAATGAGGTGTAACTGAAGTGGAAGGCAACGTGTGGATTCCAGCCACAGGCAAGTCAGGTTCTACAGGTGATGAGCTACCATCCAAACTGAAAACCGATGATTTGATTGTGGATAAATCAGTAAGTCCTTCAAGAGTCCGTGGGTATCGGCGTCTATACAATTCTCGGATTTTAATCTGAACCGCAGGGCTACAGCCGCTCTTCAGTAAATGCAACGCCCTCATCAGGAGGTCATGCTTACGTCCACTTTTATTCCGTCCAGCAAAGCCTAGTAACACTTGTAGTTCAGAAACCCTAAAACTAGAAACCATATTCTAAAAGGAGAGAAAAAAAAAGTAAACCAATAGTCACCAAGTATATAAAAACCGTATTTAAAATATACTATAAAATCTTGTTTTTTCAGCATTCAATCAATTGGCATGTGCTAGTAACTAGTATTTCTACATAGTTAGAATTGTCCCAGTTTACGCTGCTAGCCCCACCCCACCAAATAACACTTAAGTTATGATATTAATAATGTTTTGATATACTCAATTTTGGTAGTCTATTGTTTTCCTTTATGCTCAAGTGAAAACTCGTAGATGCTTTATGACTATGGAATTTATAACCAATGAAAATGTTCCTTTAAAAATAAGCTCTACAAATGCACATTATTATCAACTGACCAATTAGATTTTGACACTATATGCATAGTTTCTGATGCTAAGCATTAAATCTACAAAAATCAAGACGAATTTGTGATCCAAAATCCAATTAATTTTTACCAACTCAAAATGAAGGAACAGACAATGTAAGAAAATAGTATTTGTTAAAATTAAAGCTAAAAATCTATACACCTTATTTAGTAGTCAAACTTCTAGAAATGAAGTTCTCAGCTAAGTGTCCAATGAGGAAAAGACCTTTGAAGAGCAAAGAAATGAGTCATCACAAATCTCAAAGGACAAGATTCCTTCCACATCACCATCTATTGACTTGTTCTTGAGTACAAAATGGAAGTAAGAGGCAGTTCCTGCTTCAGATCTTACTATTTAGTTATTCAACAAAACTTAGTATATACTTTTAGCCACTCGCTGCTTCATAAATCCACCTACTCAGTGATTTTCAGTCAATCCTGAACACAGAAGTGACAGGTGCACCATATAACCAGAAAGAGCAGCTGACCAAACGCCTTTTTAGAAATTGACCCTAAGGAAAACTGCCCCCCACCTCTTCTCAGTGCAGCACACTCCACAGCTACCTGGGACTCCTTCTCAACCTGGCAGGTATGCACAGGTGCAATACCTAGTGCTGGCACTGATTCATAACACATAATTCCTGTTTGTACTTTTAAGTCTCACTGATGGCCCAGAAGCAATTGTTTAAAACTCTTCTGGACTTTTAAGTAGTTGTCAGGAACAGCTGCTAGTTTTCTGAACTGCAAACAAATTTAAACATATCAAATATAGCTGCATATAAAAGCTGTAGCAAGCTTGTAATTCTACTTCATATGTCTCTATATTTCATATTGTACAGGTAAAAGAATTATTAAGTTGTAATCCTACCAACCATTCTTTATATACATGATCAGCACAGACTAACAGAAGTAGGAACCACACACATAATTCTAAGTCTTCTACTGTAGTCACATTAAAATAAAACAATTTAATTCTGATAAGATGCTTTATTTAACCCAATACAGTATATCAAAAGTATTACTTAAATTTACTTAAACAGGTAATCAATATTTATAATTTTAAAAATCATGATTTTTAAAAAGTGTCAATGAGATTTTTTTCCCATACTAACTTTGCAATATCCAGTGTGTATTTTCCACTCAGAGCACATCTCATTTTGGACTAACCACATTTCAAGTGCTTAAGAGCCACACTTGGCTAGTAGCTACCACACTGGACGGTGCAGCTCTAAATCACTCTCACATAGCAACATATATCATAGTGCCATAGTCATTACACTTTAACTCATTTCATTTCCTCCATGTGTTAAAGATGATTTTATCTTACCCCTATGTTATGGACAAGATTAAAAAAAAAGAGGGAAAACAAGAAAATTCTTGGCCTATCTCATGACATACCTGTAATAGTACTCAAGGTTACACAACAAGGACTACGACAGCTTTTCAGAAGTGTCTTCCCAAGCAAGAAATGCAATGCATCCTCTCAAAAGTCCCCAATCCTAATAAATTTTTCAACTGAAGTTTGCTCATATTACAGTGCATATAAGCAACATTAAATCATGGAAAACACTACCACCAACAAAGGCAGCCATACAGAAACAAGTTATCTATGATTTCTTCTAAAGAAATCGAACTAACTTGGAATTCACTACTTTGCTTCCCTTGTTTCAATTATTTTCAGATATTCTTCATTTTGAGAAAACCTGTCTTACAGAAATGACAGAAGCAACACAAAGTCACTCTAAGCTTGGCTCGCAGAAAGGAATTTCTGGGAGGTCTCATTTCTCTTATTTCCAATGATAAATTTATCTGGCAAAGAATGCTAGTGCAAATAGCTCTATTAGCTACTGTAAGTATACAAACAAAAGGGAAGAAAGATATAAAAGCTTAGAACTATAAATATGGAATCCAAAGATTCTGTGCAAAAAAGAAATTCCCTAGTTTGGGGAGGGGCAAAGGAAACAAAAGTAGACGGGACAGTGTGCAAAATGCTCCAAAAGAGAAAGCACTGCCAGCCCTCCCAAAGGTGGTAGTTTTGAGAGTCAATGGGGTCCCGTGGAAAACTCTACAGCAGCCGTCAGTAGTTGTATGTACATCAAGTCCTAGCATCAAGACTCAGGACAACTTGGGAAAGTCACTTCATCCCTTTGGCCATCAATTTCTATTTAAAAAACAAAAACAAAAATTGTCTTTTACTTAGAATTTACTATTAAGATAGTCCCTAAGGAGCTTACTAAGTCAAAATCTACTAATGTATTTCTCAGCAAACCTCACTGGAACCCATTTCTTCCTAAAGTCATGCTTATTTTAATTTTTTGACTCAGCCCTCACCAGTTGCAGTGAGCCTGCTAGGAATACCAGCAAGAATTAATTTCAGCTCTTGTTCTCCAATTTTTTAAGTGCATTTTATCCAATCCATCCTGCTGCCTCCCAAAGTCTGCCTCTAATCTCCAGTTACGATTGCTATGTGCTCTACACAGGGAAATGATCTCAACTGCTTGCCTTTAAGGAAACTCTATGAACTATAGAAAAATATATTGGCATCTGATATTTAAATATACATAATCTGGATTTCTAAAGAAAAGCCAATGTAAATTAAGACTATGACTTTAAATCAACTTTACTTATCAAACTTAACACAAAATTATAAAAAATTTGAAACTTGGGACATTATATAATTGGAATATTAGATATAGGCATGAAGGAAAGTTGAAGGTGCTACATTTAGAAAACAACTCATCAAACAAGTAAACATGACAGTTAAAAGTGATCATCATGAGTAAAAATATTTTCCAGAGACTGCTCTTCAGTTCTTAAATATGAGATGGAAATGGTTAAAAATAACTCAGAATTTGAGGAAGCCCTATAGCTTGGCAATCACAGTAAAGACCAACACAAACTTTGTAGATCCTCCACCTACTATCATGTATAATGTGGAACAGGGAGAGTAAATACTGTAGGGAACTGCTAAATCACATTATTAATATCACCTATCCCAACAGCAACATTAAAACTTGCTACATTTTCATTTATAAGCAGGGATGGATAAAGAAAAACCACCATGTAATAAAAAGAAATGACCAAGCTGATACCGTAAGAGAAACTGTGAAATTTAGGAACATTCTCCAATATCTAACTACTACCGATCTCCTGAGCAGTCCCTAGTTCCTGGCCCTGCATTCTGGTAAAACCACCTATTCCCTTTAACTGAATCACCTTTACTTGTGACTTTATGTGGATCTCTTTTTTACAAGACACTGGTTAACATTACTCCCCAGCTAAAGAAATAAAAATTGAATAGTAAGAGAAACAAGAGAGAATACTACATTTCAAAATCTATAAAATAAGCCAAAGCTTGGGAGAGCATCTCCCTAAATGCTTTTATTATTATACAAGATTGAAAATAAATTTAGTGAGTTCAAAAAGCAAAAAATGTAAGGTGGTCCCTTGTTATCTGCAGAGGATTGGTTTCTCGATGCCTCCACCCCCCTGCATATTACCCAAGTCCACAGATGCTCAAGTCCCTTAAGTCAGCCCTCCCTCCTCACAGATGTGGAACCCCGGATACAGAAGACTGACTATAACAACAAAATAAACACACACCCTCAGAAAGAGCAAAGAATTAAAAATGAAACATGAACCAGAAAGCAAAAAACACAAAAGTCTGTAAAGTCTGGCCCCCAAAAGGGGGGAAAAACACTTTTGAGAATAAGAAAAGGAATATAAAGACCACAAATACTAAGCAAATTTCCTTAAACAGAAAATAGCACAAGCAACTATAGTAACTTAGAGATAAGTTATTTCCTAGAAAAATATAAATTACTCAATCTGATTCGAGAGATATATTATCTTTGCCCCCTCACTTACAAAAGAATCTTCCCAGATAAGACAGCTTCATCAACAAATTCTACTAAGCCATGAAGGAAAAGATGGAATTCTGTTACTTAAACTGTTCAACAGAATAAAAGTCAGAATATTCAATACATGTTTGAAGATAAACATGGAAAAGTCTGTTGAACACAGAACAGTATTTTCAAATAAGCAAATTTTGGTTTCTCAGACTTCAGCAGGGAGTCCACTCATCCAGCCAAAACTTGAAGCAAATCCTGATGAAACAGGGGGTCTGGTCTTTCTCATTTCCTAATAGCAACCATAAGGAGTTTTTTTTTTTTTGGTAACATATCAACATTTCCTGTTGACACAAAAGCCCTTGTACCCAAGTATAGTTTATTCTAGTAAAGTAAAACTAGTTTAACAAATTTAATAAATAACTTGATTAGGATTATCTCTATTTTTGTAATCATATGCTGAAATATTTATAGATAAAATTATACAATATATAGGATTTCCCTTAAATTGTCTGTGGTGACACCAAATAGTCAACGCAATCTTGAGAACGAAGAACAAAACTGGAGGCATCATACTCCCTGATTTCAAACTATTTTACAAATTTATACAGTAAGCAAAGCAGTAATATATTGACATAAAAGCAGACAGATGAGTGAAGGAGACTACAGCCCCAAAATAAGCCCACACATGTATGGTCAATTAATTTACAACAAAGGAGCAAGAATACCATGGGGAAAGGATGGTCTCTTCAATAAATGGTGCTGGGAAAACTGGAGAGCCATACTCAAAATA